TCAAATGTGTGTTAAAAAAACAAAAAAAAAAAAAAAAAAAAAAAAAAAAAAAAAAAAGGCCGTTGACTCACCAGCCTTGAAGTAGCCCTCAATACCATCGACAAGAGGAGCCTCGGGTCCAGGAACAACGAGGTTCACTTGGTTCTTTTGTGCGAATGCGACAAGGCCAGGGTAGTCGTCACCCTTGACATTGGCGTTGGTGATCTTCTTGTTGGTACCCAGACCAGTACCGCCGTTTCCGGGGGCGACGTAGACGATGTCGACGAGGGGAGACTCGCTCAACTTCCAGGCGAAGGCATGCTCACGGCCACCATTGCCGACGATGAGAATGCGCAATTGTTCAGAAGCCATGGTTAGGGCAGTCGAGTAACTGTAGTGGTGTTAGTGTGGGAACTTTCGAACCTCCGCGGGGTATGCCCCTCCAAAGAAAAGTGAGTCATGAAATGAAATTGCAAACAGTTGACTACCCATCAAATTGACAGGACAAACAGGAGACAAGATTCTCACCTCGACAGCTCAAGCACTGCAGTATATGTGTGGAACTTAAGAAGTCGAAGGTTCTCAAAAAGTTGAAGTCTAAACTTTTTTTCCCCGGCTGCGGTGTTTCTCCGTCCCCACGATTTCTGCGACTTCTGCGACTTCGGGGCTTTTATACTTGGCTATACTTGACTATAGTCAATCTCTATGCAGAGCATCTATGTAATTATAGTATCGCTATCTCTGGGGTTTCAATTCAAAATCTACTTCACTAGATGTATGCACGCAATTCTTTAGTGTAAGTTGGGTATTTAAGTAGAGAGTACACTTTTATACTGATCACGGATGGAATATGATTAAATTCTTGTCGCCTAGGTAGCTTATACATACATGCACCTAATTATATATACAAACCTTTATCTATAACCTCGGAAGTATATACACATTTATACTTAAGTAGATTGACTCTACCTCTCAAACACTGATTGGATTGACACCTCAGGCACACGGATAGATAACCAGGCGGTGACTGTAATCTTGCCGGCAGAAAAAAAACACGGAGTGTTTGCGGTTCCTGGCTCGATCTTATCGACTTCAATCATCCTGATTCCCGGATAATTCACTGTTTTGTTGACTTGGGGATGTTTCGGGCCAATCTGCGGTCTATTTCAGGCCCTTTGCGCCGAAATGGCCCTTTCTCCCTGTCGTGCCGTGCGGTCGGTTTGCGCCAATTCCACCGTACACCTGCACACTGGTCTCTAGACACTGCCCCCAACCAGGAGCCTATTGACGATTCAATGAATATTCTGGCTATATCAAAGGTTTGAACTATCTTCCTGAAGTTGTGAAACATCGACTAATCATGAAGAAACAGCCGAAGAAAGTATGGATCCACCCCCAAAGCCGCCGGAGACCGTTATCAGCATTACCCAGAATACTTCGAGATCCCGCGAAAAGGTCGGATTTTGGCAATCAGTGGTCTCAATTTATCAAAACTGAACAATACAGAGCACGTGCTTTGAGAAATCACAAGGAGCTACAGGATATTTGGGACCAAGATCCGAACCCAGAAAAGAAAATCATTATAGACCTGCGACAGGCTTTTTCCTATGCCATAAGGGTGTCCCAGCAGCAGAACAATCGCCTCACTCTGGCTGCGATTTGGGCGCGTAAGGAATTGGGCGCGTTGGACCCAAGTGTCAAGACACAGGATTTCGACTCATGGTCCGCGGCAGAGGACTGTCTTCGGGCTTGGGAAGATCGAGCCCATGAGCAACGATCATATATCGAAGAATCGCGCAAACAATACATGGAACTGCCGCTGCCTGCGGGGGCTTCGAATCTCAAATATCTAAAAGACAATGGAAGGAAGCTGGGAGGAAGATTAAAACCGAGAAAGCCAAAGAAGCCTGCAGAGCTTGCCCCGGACACCACAAAAGATACTGCGACACAAATATTGGAGAGTCGCCCCGCAGAGAGCGCAAAGGGCGCAGAGGGCGCAGAGGGCGACCGAAAGGAGCCCACCGAGTTTTCCCCCGACACTAAAGAGGATATTGCGACGCAAATATTGGATGGCAGCTCCGCAGAGAGCGCAGAGAGCGCAGAGGGAGCAGAGGGCGACCGAAAGGAGCCCACCGAGTTTTCCCCCGGCACTAAAGAGGATATTGCGACGCAAATATTGGATGGCAGCTCCGCAAATAACGCAGAAAGCGAACCCAAGGAGTCCGCAGAGTTCTGCTTGGACCCCAACGAAGACATTGTCGCCCAAATTTTGGAAGGCAGCGCTAAATACGCCCCTCCACTGCCGGTGGAAGAATCGCAACCTGTGTTGAGAGATTCGAACAAGGAATCACTAAAACATATTGCAAAGTACGTGGAGGAGAAGCATGTAGGAAAACTGACACTCCCGGAGTCAAAACTAGTTGGTGAGTGTCCATTGCATATCGTGGCCGATGTTGGCTAATATTGGAATCCAGCGCTGGACGCCCCTATGCCCCCTGTTCCTGGTGTCTCGTTTGGACTCGACCGAGTGCTCTTCAAGTGAGTCGATATAACCGCTTTTGTTTTTCCAAAAAAGCTTGAGACGCTAACACAAGATAGCCCCGGCGTCTACCACCTACGTGATCCCCGATCTCGTGTTTATAACTTCGACCCCTATCTGGGCGAGATCATGCCCGTCTCAGAATTTGACTATGGCACACTGAAGCCATACATCACTTCTTCCAAGGACGAGACAGCTCTCAAACTGGCTATGACGCATAAGAAGAAATACTACGGCTCTTCTTCCAGCATGACGTCCGTTCTCTCTCATTTCCATTATCTTCTCTCTAGTTGGAGGCCGATCAACATTCGCCAGATGTCCTCAGGATTTCCGGATGATATGCGCAACTTCACTCGGATTCTTCGAGCGCCGACTGCTATGTTCCTTCGCTACAAGGAGGAGGAGGATTCTTACGCCATTGATGCCGATAAAGAATACGACAGCGCAAACATTCTCACCAATCTGGGAAAATCTATGGAAAAGCTGCTCACCCTTCCAAAGGAAGAGTTTGAGCGTTACCGCCGTTCCAGTCCCAACAAGGTGACTGCCGAAGAAGAAAACAATGTTCCTGAATCATACCACTACACCACTGCTGGTAAATTCATGATGCGTTCACAATTGGATGCCTATGATCCCAGACTGCCAGGAACTGGTATGTATGATTTGAAGACACGTGCTGTCACTTCAATCCGCATGGATGTCAGGAACCACGACAATGGAATCGGGTACGAGATCAAGGATCGCTTTGGTAACTACGAGTCCTACGAACGTGAATACTTTGACATGATGCGCGCCGCTTTCCTCAAGTACTCGCTGCAAGTGCGTATTGGTCGCATGGACGGCATCTTCGTTGCCTACCACAACATTGAGCGTATCTTCGGCTTCCAGTACATTAGCTTGCCAGAGATGGACGACAGTCTGCACGGCACAAGTGACACGACTCTCGGTGATCGAGAATTCGAGTTCAGTCTCGGATTGTGGGAGGAAATCTTGGACAAAGCCACTGCCAAGTTCCCCAAGCAATCCCTGCGCCTCCACTTCGAGACTCGCGCAGGCACGCCGCCCTTCATGTACATCTTTGCCGAGCCCGTCACAGACAAGCAGATCAATGCCATCCAGACATCACGACAGGCTGAGATTGACGAGTTCAACGACCGTCTCTTCAACCCCGACCAGTCTCTTTCTCGAGTCATGGATCTCGGCGCTGCGCCACCTACCGAGGATGTTCCTGTTGTTGAAGAATCCCCCGCCAAGGAGCCCGCTGCCACCGAAGATGAGAAGTCCGACGAACTCCTGGCCATGACTCTCGTCATCAAGAACAAGGTAAACGGCGAGATTGTGCCCTGCCCACAAAAACTCAGGGCCCCCGACGATTGGGAAGTGTACTACGAACTCAACGAACTGGCCACTGTGCAGGGCAGAGTTCTCTTGCAGTCCTTGAAGAATCGCCGCCGAGACATTTGGACTAAGCTGGACGAGGGTGATTCTGATTCGAACCCGACCAGGGACCGCTTCCTTCAAACTTTGCAGCGGTATGTTCGGAGAGGTCGCAGGTTCCGCGAGAGGGAACAGCAGAGGGACTCTCAGGAGGGCATTGTCTGGTATGAGGAATCGCAGAAGAAGTCTGCTTAGATTGGACAGTGTGAAGTAATTTGCCTGCATCATGTACATTAGATAGTCACTTCTTTTGGCGTTTTCTTTGAGTTTTATAGTTTTTGAATATATCATCTTCGCGTTCTTCCACTCTCATGTCTTTCAAGGACATCGACCTCTCTTTACTGTCACATATCATCGAATCTCTGAGCGGTTTGTATCATCGCAATTTCCCAGTGCGTTTGCTATTTGCTACTCCCATTCTTCTTCTTCTTCTTCTTCTTCCTCCTCCTCCTCTCCCCTCGAGGAACTTCCGAGTACTATCATCAACTCTTGCCCTCAGCAATAAGCCTGCTCTGTGACTTCCATGACCCCGGCTGGCAAAGACACTGGTTCTAACACACAGGAGTCAGTTGGAATTTGATACAGCATTCACTTCGAGAACACCCATCTCTTCAACTTTCCATCTTGCCAGCTCTCATGAGTCACAGGTCCTTACTTACGTCTATCTCACCACTTACGAAGGCTTCCCCCACTCTACTTCACCTTCACCCACTATACTTCATCGCCAAATGGAGGAAATCAAAGCAAACGATTTCGCCAGAGGGTAAGTTACTCAACGTACAACAACAAAACCAAAGCTCACCTCTGCAGTGTACTTTCCAGCCCTCGCGTGACCATCCGAATCAGCAATGGTATCCAAGAATACAAAGTCTCACGAGAGCTCTTGTGTGAGCAATCACCCTACTTCGCAGCCATGTTCCAGGGAAAATTCCGCGAAGCCAAAGACCAGAGCGTAACACTGCAAGCTATGGAAGGGGTCATATCCGAGCAGAGCTTCGAGGGATTCGTGCAGTGGATATGCATTAAACGAGTGACCTTTGATCTTGCGAGCCCCAGTGATCAAATAACAGCATTCATTGAGCTGGCACGGCTGGCAGATATGTGTGGGATGGTCGAAATGCAGGAATACCTTGCCTCCAGCGTCAATGGAATCCTTAAGAGAGGCTACTACGATAGCAACCCCGAAGCACCACGCTCTCTGTCAAAACATCTCACCACTCAGCATGTTTGTTCTGCCACTGCGCTACCGGAGGGACATCCTCTCTTTCGTGTTCTGTGTGTCGCCTCGGTCCGGGATATTCTTGAGAAGAAAAGCTCCAGACTTGTTGAGGCGACTCGACCGAATCACCGATATGCGGCGGGCGTTCTTCAGGAGGTAATTGTATCTTTGGATGGTATGAGTTTGAGTCTGACCCAGGACTCGAGCGCAAAGAATATGACTGCTGTTTGTTATGGCCGTGATTTCATCTGTGGGACACAAATAAGCATCGCTACTACCAAAAAACGAATTCAATGATTGGCAAATCATCACAAGACAAACCAGAGGGGAGGAAATGGTGCCACGATGTTTTTTGATGTTTCGATGGGAGTAATCTGTTCGCTGGACCTTGAGGTAGTCGGCTAGAATGCCAAAGGTCAAAGCCATTCAACATGGAACTTGCTATTATGCCCCTCTTTCAAACCTCAGAACTATCAATGAATTAAGCATAGGGCAGTATTAATACCAATGGATACAGTAGACAATGACAGAGAACCTCGGGATAATGTTGAACTACAGTTTCGTACGCTGGAGACACCCGAGTATAGAGTCAAGAATGAATTCATACATATCCAGCAACCCTACCAAACCAAGCAATGAAAGTACCACTTCAAGCTTCAAACCAGGTATATGCACATCGTCAAGACAGGGAAAAGGAAGAAAAAATAAAGAATAAACCACCCCAAGAAAAGATAAGAAATAAAAAAATTGACCAAACGCAAATGAATCGAAACGCCACAGAATGTCCAGTAAAAACGCCAGGGTATCAGGACCAAGGATGTGTTAGGGCGCAAAAAAAAGATGAACAAGAAAAAATAAAAAAAAGGCATCGTATATAAGCCTGGAGTCTGTACAGTTTGTATGATTTTTACTGCAACTCGCCCAGATCGATCTTGGGAGGAGCCCAGTCGAGCTTTGGGGGTGGTTCATTTGCATAGACAGTTGTTGAAGGGCGAGATTCGCGGATTTCCCTTGAGTCTCGCGAGTCTCGTGATTCGCGGGAGTCTTTGCGGGCTTCTGCGCGGCGACGTTCGCGGAGGGCACTGCCGCTGAGGAAGCCGCGGAGGGTTGATGAGGCGGTGCCGTAGGCGCTTCGGCCGCTGCCTGTTCCTGTTGAAACGGTGCTGGTGGATGAGCGTGCGCTGCGGACGCTGCTTGCTTTGCGGGCGGATTGGGGGACTGGGATTGGTGGGACTGGTGGGACTGGGAGGGCGAGGCGGGAGCTTTGAGTGGATGTGGAGCTGTATTCGGAAGAGTGGGAATGGGATGCACGGGCAGTATGTGGGCGAGGTTTAGAGAGGGATCGTTTGGAGACTGAGATGTTGGTTGGAGATACGGAGCGGGTGTCTGATGGTTCAGAGAGGAGGATGGAGGTTGGTTCTGCTGGGGGTTTGATTTCGTCGGTTGAAACAGCAACGTCAAACTTGAGGTTGTCCAGCATTGTGCCTAGGCTTGCTGCTGTGGCAGGACGCCCATCACTTTCAGAGTCGTCGATGCCATCATCTTCGACACCATTGGCAATGTTGTAGTTTCGCTGCAGATATCGACGAAGCCGGGTGACTTCCTGGTCCCATTTACTATTCAAAGACTCTAGGACAAGTTCGACGTTGTGGTTGGCGAATGGGGACGTTTCCAGCGATGAGGCGGTAGCAGGCGGCGCCTTGTGCAGCCGATGCCCTGATTGACCTTGACCAACACTCATCGCCGCATACAAGGAGCGGCGGATCGAATTGGCTGTGGAAGTTTGGCTGCTGCTGGTTTCCCATCGAACGTTGTCGACCTCTCGCCGTACCTTTTCAAGCGATTGGAGTCGATCTCGATCCATACAAGAAAGGGTGAGGAGTGAGCGATTGCATTGCAATCCGTTGACTAGCACAGTGAAAGATTGGAGATTGATGTCATTGTTCTCACAATGCACTTCGCGAAGCGATTCATTCTCCTCCAAGACCGAGGCAAGAGTGTTTGCACCTTGCAAGCCAAGCTTTTGATGCTCAATCTTCAAGATCTTGAGAGAGCTGTTCTTCTTCAGACCAGTCAGGGCAAGGTTGAGCCCAATGCCAAATCGCGCAACATCCAAATGAGCATTGTCTCCACTGATGTCCAGGACCTCCAGACTTTCGTTTTCCTCAAGCATCACCTGCAAAGACCGGCAAGTTTCCGGGCTCGCATCGTAAGGGAGGGAAGCCTTCGAGATATCCAGGAACTTGAGAGTGCTGTTCTTTCGGAGTGAATCCACCAGCTGGCGGAAATGATCCTCTTTCTTGAAATCAATCATGCGCATGGACAGATGCGATGGGGTTTGATTCTTGGCAATGGCACTGAATATATGAGAGCATCCATCGTCAAGGCGGTTCTCATTGACATGCAAATGCAGATTCCTTGAATCACCAGACAAAGCCGACATGGAGTGCATGAACATCGCGACATCTTCCCCTGTCAGGCCACACTGATCAAGGCGAATCGAGCTTAGATTCTGGGACCGATCGCTGGCTAAATATGTTGCTATGGCGTCCACGGTCTCACGATTGATGACTGTTCGACTGAGGGTCAGCTCTTCGAGCCGCCAATTAAATAGCATTTCTGCCGTGATCAGTGGATCGGTGCCAGATGTTCGCGAAATTCGAGAGAGGTTGATTTTGCGAATCTGTCCGAAATACCCGATGTATTGCTGGAGGACATCAGGATTGAGTCGACCCTGCACACCCGATATGTTGATTGCCTCAAGGGTTGCTTCCTGTGCAACAATGGTTGATAAAATCAGATCCAAATCATGCACAGATAATCCGCAATCCCCGACTTCCAGAGCTCGCAGGTGACTTCGTCTTTGCGATGCCGCATCGACAAGGTAGTCCAGGTCTGATTCACCGAGCTTGATGCCATTGAGGACAACCCAGTCCACGCTAGTTAATTCTCGACGGCACACAGGGAAAATAGCTTCTGGGATTCCACAGCCAGGGTCTCGAGTGCCTTTCTCCAAAGTTGGCGTGGGAACTCTCGTGAGACTGTACGAAAAGTCTAGTCGGCGCAGCCACTTACTCTTGAGGGCAAGTGCACGCACTTCCTGTGAGAGAACGGTCAAATTGTGTTGACCCGGGATGTGAACAAAGGTTCCGCCTCTGTCAAGGTGGACGTCTGCATCGACACCATGTGAATCGCGCAACCCTTGCAATGCATCAAGATTGACTCCCCGGAACGAAATTGACCGGAAGAACTCGTTGTATCGCAATGTGCGCATCACCGCAATGAGTTCTAAAGCGGTGTATCGGGAGGATTTCGGCGAAGCAGGCTTGAGTAGACGGAAGCAAGGCGCATCCTCGCATTCCAGGTCAATGGTGTATCGAATGTTCGAAGTGTCGATATCGTAGCTGGCCGAGTATGCGACTAATGTGCGATCCAGACATCCGTAATCTTCATCCAGAGGGACTGGCGGGAAATTATCGTCGTTCTGCAGTTCTTTCGGCACAACGAATTCGTATGATTGTCTCGTCCACAGCGGACGCAGATACTCTGTATGCTGGCGGATCCAGCAGGCAACTTCCACAGAGTGAACGGATGCCAGGAACACATTGTACGATTTCTTCAAAGGAACACGGAAAGTCAGGTGCAGACTGTCATCGCCGTATTCCATTGACAGGCCCGTCAAATTCATCAGACCAAAAGATGTGGCAGACTCCCAGTCAGACAGGGATACAACGGAAGATCGATTGGCATTCTTTTGCATGGGCAACACATGAAGCTTGTGGGACCCAATGGCAAGGTAGCAGCCTGTAGGGGACAATTTGGTGAGATCATCGGAAGAGGAACGGTTGATTGACTTGCTGGATGCGATTTGAATGACACGGAACATGCGGAATGCCTCCGGGTCGTAGTCTCGTTCATGCTCCAGCATTCGAGTGACATACTCGACCGATCCCCTGCTAAAGGGCATGGGGCAGTTCGTTCTGGCAATTTGAGCCGCTTGACGGATGCCTACCATCCAAAGGTTCAGATCCTGCAGATCGGACGTCTGCATTTGCACCAATGTAGCTTTGTGGGTGCGCTCATCCAGGTATGCTACTTCGACAGAAGGTGACAAACGAGCGTCCTCCAACATGTACACCGCAATAATACTATTCAACGGAATCCCCGCAGTTGGATCTCCAACGGCCAACTGTGTCATATCCTGCAATGAGCTGATGGAAGCCACTGATTGGCGGTGGGAAGCCGGAGGTCGAGTGTAAGACGCAGGGATCGAGGGAAAGACATCTGCAGCTTTGCTTTGGTTTTTGAAACGAATGATATGGGTGTCGGTCAGGACCAAATATTGACTCTTCTTCCTCCACATGCCTCCAGTGGTTTGCACCTCACCGTGGTGGAGCATTGTCGATGACCAGATCCCATTTCGGGTTGTGGGTGGGTGTGCATCGTCCATTGAGACTACAGAGGCGCTAAGAGGCTCGTCGTCTTCCCATGAATGGAGGGACTTTAAAGAGCCGAAGACGGAGGTTCGTTTTTTCTGAAGTGATTTCCTCCGCGGGCGAAGGGGCTCAATCGGTGAGGGTGCATGCACAGCTGCAGACCAAGCAGCGGTGTCGGAATCTGCAGTCCCCGGGCGAGGATTGGACCCATCGAAGTCTGTGGTGCTTGAGCGGCTGAAAAAGCCTGAATTTCGGCGCAGTTTCTTGTCTCTTGTCAAGGTATCGTCCGAGGGTGTTCGGTCATGCAGCGGAGGGCGGGCGGGGGTTGACGCGAGGGATGGGCTAAACATTCCCAGACTCTTCCTCCGTTCTCTTTTACCGATGATTTCAGCCATCTCGATTCGGGAGGTTGGGGGTTTTATTGTGGTTGGGGGGAAACGAAGAGATTAAGCGCTAATCTCATTCACGACCTCACTGTCCTGGTGGTCAATTAGCCAGAGACATGATGCGGCGCATAACAGAAGAACGGAGAAAAAGAAAGACAAGAGAGAATGAGGGGAAGGTTGCACATACGACCGTCACGACGCCATGAGAGGGCAATTGCCACACAGGAGACACTCCCAAAGCGGACTATATTCACACACTCTCTCTCACTCTCGAATCGGAAATGCCCTGAGTCCCCACGATCTGTCAAATTTGCCCCTTGCAAAAAAGTACGGGCAAATGGGATATAATATCCGGTCTCTGGCTTCCGAGTGCAGCAAGATGAGACCAGCGATGTTTTGAAAGGGAAGAAGTTGACGGATGCAGTAATCAAACAACTTCACCTGTTGTTTCAAGTTTCACTTTGCACCCTATAATTTCTGAATTCCTTAATTTCCAATGGCCTAATTTTGCGAGAAACTAATTCATAATACATTAGATAACTAGTACGAGTAAGTGTACACTGAACTTCTGTTTAATTAAAAAGCGATCATCTCAACCCCACAGACATTCGCGACATATCCAACCGCATTCGATCTCTTAGCCACGTAAGAGGCGTTCTCCACCGTGTGCAGCTAGCCCTGATAGTGCAGGTAGTGTAGGGTGCAGGTGGTGGTGCAGCTCCCTACAGGGATTATTGCTGTAAGTCAACTAAGGTTGGAACTACTCCTGTTTGGTCAGTACATCGCCAAGGATTATGCTTTCTTTGTATATATGACTGTTCTCTAATTCTCTTGTAAGACCCCTTGATCTACACTTTACACTCCATAGATCGACAGTCCTGATCATTGACGTCTCGGGCCTATGCGAACGGAGATCCCAATAGATCGACATGGCAATCAGGGGAACTATATCTCCAGTCTGGCGTCATCGAGCTCATGGACCCCCCGGGAATTGCTCGGATGACGGAGCTCCATTCTCCACGAACTAGTGGCTGGGAATTGCGATCCGGAGAAGGGAATTTGAGATACCCGCTCTCAGGATATTCGGTATGACGTCTCTGGGGTTCTCATCGGCGATTCCCCTGTTCTCTCTCTGCTTGAAGTCGTTCCGCTCGCTTGAGATTCCGCATCAGATCAATATACTCCGTCACCCGTTTCTCCTGCCATATACATCCGCCCAGAGTCATCGCCCAAACCTGGAGGAAGACCTTGAATTGTGGGGTCAGACCACGGTAGATCCGTGAGCCAGGAGAAATCCAGCGAGAAAATCCTTCCATGGGACGGTGGAACAATCGAGAGCGGAGATAATCGCGGGAGAAGATCGAGGGGCGTGGACGAGGTTGTGATGCGGGATGCGCGGGTGGACTGGGGGCGGAGAAGACGAAGGGATGTGGGAGGGCAAGAATCATATGCGCGAGAATGGAGACAGACCCGAACTAACAGACAGTTCAACGGCTATTCAAGCTTCCAGACTTGTGGATCATCACTTACACGAAACACGCCAGTCATGAACCCTTCGGCAGCCACCCAGGGAATCTCTTCTGGGGGTTCATTCTCCCCTCTTCGGGTGGTTGGGGATGACATGGTATCTGTGGGATGTGCAGGAGTACAGAGTCAAGAGAAAAGGATTGACAAGCAGAAATGAAGTTGATGCGATTGGATTGTATGGGCCTTATCGAAGCCGGGCTTCCGAGATGAGACCACAGTGGACCGCAAAGGTGTAAGGGAGCTTTCTCAAAGTTTCAAGCCCAATTCAACGAAACTAAACATGACAAGGACAAGAGTCTGGACCAGCCAGTGTCTTCGAGATGTAAATGAAGTGCAATTCGAACCTCCAAAGCCAAAGCTAAACGGATCAATGTTTCTCCGTTCGGGCGACTTAGATAAAAAAGAAATCCGATTACCGATATCGCAGTCGGACTCATACATTGCCCAGGTGAACGTTTGAACATTTCCAACTTCGTCAATTGTCAATCCCACACAATGTCTCTCACCGCACGTACCGCAAGCCTCTCGCGCGCAACCAACGAGACCAAGATTCAAATCTCCCTCTCCCTCGACGGCGGTGTTCTCCCACCCTTCGAACCCTCAACCCACTTCCCCGCCCCATCAGACCCCCAAGAAGCCGAAGCTGCCAAAAAGGGCATTCTCCCTATCAAAGAAGCCAAGCATGCCACTCAATTCACCCCCACCCAGCAAATCACCATCAGCACCGGCATCGGCTTCCTCGACCACATGCTGCACGCACTCGCCAAACACGGCGGTATGAGTCTTGCAGTCCGCGCAAAGGGTGATCTATACAGTACGTGCCATATCAAGCCCAATCCAAACCCAACAATCTAACATACCCATCTAGTCGACGACCACCACACAACAGAAGATACATTCCTTGCGCTGGGCGAAGCATTCACCCAAGCACTTGGAGCACGGCAATCACTCGAGCGATTTGGGCGCGGCGACGCACCCCTCGACGAAGCACTCTCATGGGCAGTCATCGATCTCTCAAGTCGGCCATGGGCAGTGATTGATCTCGGATTCAAGCGCGAGAAGATCGGCGACCTGAGCACCGAGATGATCACACACGGTCTGCAGAGCTTTGCGCAGGCTGCCGGTGTGACCCTGCACGTCGGCTGCACCTACGGTGACAACGACCACCACCGTGCCGAGAGTGCATTCAAGGCTCTTGCTGTTGCTATTCGCAATGCCTGCAAGCGTCGTGTTGCAGGCGACGTTGGTGCCGGTGATGTTGTCAGCACCAAGGGTGTGTTGTAATGAGACATATGAAGACCAAAAAAAATGAATAAATGCATAAGACAGCGTTTCGGGTTGATTTCTCTACATATGTGCGCTGAAGCCGTGCTTCGATTTTACAATGTCCTTACATGTCCGACTTTCCCAAATGCACTCAAACTCCAAGTGCCTTGACGGCTCGGTCCCAGTATGCCTTGCGGTCGTCGGTGATGGTTGTGCCCACGCAGTCAGTGATGTATTTCTTCCATCCGGCCTCTGAGCCATCCGCCAGTGCAGAGCGCACCTCCTTGGAACATTCTGTAGTAAGGAACCAAGCACCAGATCCGAAATCCGTGGTTCCGTCGTTTCTCAACAGATCAAGCAGATCTGCTGGGTCGGAGGTCTCGGCTGCCTTATCTTTCACGGCTGGGATCGACGCCGCGTACTTCTTGTTGAAAGCAGGAGATTGCATGTTGCGTGCTGGGTGGGTTAGCTTTGATATACATTTTATCATGGAATTGTTTACTTACTTCCTTGTCCGGCAACACCGGGGAAATGGTTCTTGTTATATTTGAAGTCGCCGCTCTCAAAGGCCATGAGACTGATCACGGCTGCTTGTTCGGCTTTCGATGTCACTTTGTAGGTGTCGAAGGACTGGGCAATGAATTTCGCGGCTTGTTTGGCGGTTGCGCATTCGCCTTCGGATGGCGCGTCATCGCAAGAGGAGGATTTGGGGGAAATGGTGGTGATTTGAGCTTCTGTGAGGGTCCCGCGGCAGGCGATGGGAGAGGCGGCTGTGAGGGCCAGGAAGAGGGTGAAAGGGAGTAATTGCATGTTGATTTTCAGAATATTGTCAAGAATAGAAAAATAGGAGTATGCTAGAATGAACTGGGCTTCAGGGTTGAAGTAAACAAAAAGTCATAGATCTCAAGACGCGACCCCGTCTTTATAGATCCCCCACATGTTTAACGGGGGCCAGCAAAAACAGGGGGCCTTTCAAATGACGCTAAATAAAGGGACCAGGGCAAAATACTTGGGCAGGATTGCCCTAGAGTGGTATGTGCATATGACATAGGCTAACTAGACGCGGAGAATGCTGCGGGCGTACTTGGCTATGCTCGTACAGATAGATCTCAAAGAACGACTGGTTCCATAAATATGAAACGAGCTCCTGGGTAAAATGATTCAGCCAGTTAAAATGCTTAGCTCGAAGAGTCTGATCACTTTGCTGCGCAATGTCAGGCACCTGGGTGCTCCAGGGCGGTTATTGGAGGAGTTAGGGTTTCTATTTTGAAACGTGCGACATGTCAGACCGACAGTTCACTGCCTTCTTTGGTTCGAAATTAAGTATAGCCTTGATGCTTTCTTTTCTTTTTTCTTCCAAAAACTGATTTTAACGACATATGACTGGCTTGCCGTTGGCTTGATACATCCTGGACTTAAAACAACCTTGATGTGAGAGGAAACGTTGGTTATTGGTAGAGCCGATCTCAGATTGTGTATACGAGTAGGCAGGGTAAGACTTGGGAAAAGAGAGCGGAAGGCTGAACAACACTGTTTGGATCCCTATAACTAATACGAGTAGACTATCTGAGGTCCTCCACAATGCGAGCCTTGCGCAGACATGTTCAGCCTTGTTGATTTGGCCCCATATACCTATTTTTGGAGCCATCAATTTTAGCACCTCATACTCAGACCAGAAAGGTTGGAGATCTTGATTGGAAAGACTGACTTCCAATGTTCGAAAGGCTCTATCTTGCACATCGGAATATTTAAGGATCCATATTCACGTCAGACATCAATTGCTGTGGACCCGCTGTGCAGGCTCGCCCCAGCCCTAGGTGTAGATACCTCTCTCTGCCCTTCTCACTGCCTCTCTCCACGGAATCGACCGCCATTTCGGATGGGAGAGACCTCCAGAAGATACTGTGCAATCGAAAGAACATAAAACAACTTTTACGAGACTTTCTGACACTTGTCGGAAGCAATTATCTCCGAGTTCAAGTTAGCAGTGATCGCATGATCATTTTCTCTATCGCTATACTTCTCGATCTAGGTATGGGGCTTCTAATGATACAACTTGCCCCAACAGTGACATGGTTGACTGGGAGAGGACAAATATTCTACATTTTCCCATCGGCGAAAGAGTAATATATGCAGATGTGCCTACCGCAAACATCATGGGCATCAACGTGAGGATGTACGAAGATGCCTATGAACATACTTCCCGATTGAATTGTAGTTCGAGATATTTCACCAGAATACAGGCCATCACTCTTGATTACGTCCAGAGACCGTGACTACATTCGGTTGCCCGCTGTATGTAGATCCATGGATGCTTGCCGTTACAAGCTTGTCAGGCATGACTATGGCTGGGTCTGAAACCTAGATCATTACTAAAGTATGGATTATGAAAGGATATCATGCCCGACCATTCTGCTGCTAGTCTCGTTTGACTATGACCTTGGAGCTGAGTAGTCTAGTTTGCGATTGAGTAGTCCAGTACTAGGGTTACCCAGCCCAGACAGGTCCAAAGGCAGGGCTCGCCTGTCACAGCTGAGACAAGCCCAACAGGAATATCTACGAAGAAAACTTTTGAAAACCAGCTGACATATCCAAAAAGTGTATGTATTGTTCCAAGACGTTGATTATTTCATGATTCTCCACTGGAGATATTGCCAGAGTCCAAGTCCAGCCCCAAGAAGCGAAATTTCTAACAAAGTTTACAAAATCATAGACAAAAAAAAAAGAAAGAGAAAAAGGGCATCGGACATCGGAACTCAGCAAAAACAAAAACCCATTGCTCCAGGCGGCTGAATCCAGGATCCCGCCGGATTGCGCCGCCATGCATATGCGCTCAACAGAAAGAAAGGGATCAAGTTGTACAAATGCAGATGTGCAACTCAGTCATCGCGACGACCGAGTTCGTACGAGGTCTCTGTGACCCCGCCTTGTTCTTCGTCCTCTTTGAAGCTGACGCGACGCAGAATGGTCGGGACAGTGAGACGAGACCGTCGCGTGGGCGAGGTCAATCGGGGACTGCTGGAGGAGACCTTGGTGTAGCGGTAGCGGTACTTGGCTCCAAGGAGCATAATTCGACCGTAGCTCCACCAGAGGCAGAAGCCAACGACTCCGGCGATGCAGAAGCCGCAGACTGTAAGGAAGAGCCAGTGTTGACCCATCTGGCGGACTGTTAGCGTAGACTCGAGATAGTGAGGAAATGGCGACCGCTTACCCAGAAAATCAAATGCGCGTCCTTGCCGTGCCAGCTGTTACCGCGGTGGTGGGTGAAGAAGCTCCATGAGTGCTTGTTGTATTCGTCCTGCATCAGGATACGAACACGGCCGGCCTCGCTGGGCTTATCGCGCATGTACTCCTTCCAGATGACGGAGAGGAATAGTGGGCCTGTCGAGTACATCACGGTGATATACGGGAGCAGCCAATGGCGGTCGTATTGTTGGAGCAATTCGATCACGCGCAAGAAGAATGGGTGCTGGGGCACGGAGCCCATAGCGTCGTTGGAGATACCCGTAGGTGCTGTGCGGCGCACCCACGCGGGGTAAGCGAGAAGAGGATCCAAGCGGCGATTACAGCCCTGTTCAACGTTAGGATGGTTGGGAGTGGGTGGAGGGTAATAACTCACGTCATCTAAATCGATGTAGGTACCACCGTAGTGGGCGAGCACGAAGTACCGAATGGAGTCTGCGCGCTGAATGGGATAGTTGTAGCCATCGAAGGTGTCCAAAAACCAGGGGTACTCGGCGGCAATAAATTCGCGCGACTTTTCGTTTGTCCAGAGCTGGAGACGTCGTTAGAAGGCTGTATGGGGAAATGGTGCAGGAGCGCTTACAATATATTCATAGTCCGGGTGCAGGTCGATACAGCTCTGTTGCGCCTCGACCCAGACCTCGGGGATTGTTTCATTTTTGTAGGTCTGGTGAATGATCTTGGGGATTATTTGCGGACGTTGTTCGATCAGGCTAGAGTTCGGGGAGGGCAATTCGGCGCGGTGAATGGCATCGGCGGCGGCATCTTCAACTAATAGGGAGAGGAGAGTCGAGACACTGCGCACGAGCAGGGAGAGGATGAGGAGATTGACGAGCAGGAAGATAAGAAGACCGCGACGCATGGTGAACAGACGCGACACGATTGTACCCTATACCGGCGAAGTTGAGACGCTGTGCAGGAGATGCAGAGGAAACCAAAAGAAAAACACAGACTTCCCAAATAGACGGGAAAGGGGGGAATAGACTAGTTGAAAAGCATAAGGAGTGACGAAGTGGGGAGACTAAATCTAAAGAAGAAAGGAGGGTTGAGGCAAAAAAAAGAAGAGAGAGAGTGACATGGGGCAGGGGAAACTGAAGGGGACAAAGGTTCAACGAATAATTTACGAGGCTGAGCAAAGTGGCTGAGGCAGCTTGGGCTGCTCGTTGATTGGTTGTGGCGAGTGGGGGCCAATAAGGGGAATTTCGTTTTTCGTTTTTTCTTTTTTTTTCTTTCGTTTTTTTCAGTTCCATTTTACGGCTGCCTACTGTGCCTACTGTACCTGGGCAGTGCTACTGTGTATTCCCTGATCTCATCGACATCAGACGGTCGAGAGTCTACTGCATCTAGCGTTGCCATCAGATTTACACACGTATCTTTCTTCTAAATATTTAGTATAACCTTCAATTGCCTGTATCTCTGCAGGAACCATTCGAGGCAAATTTAGGTTTGGCGCAAGGACTCGTCATCGTATGGTAAAAAGCCAAGCGACGTGGGGAAAAGTCCCCACGCCAACGCCAAACCATGGTATTACTCTAGTCCTATTCAGGCATGTAAGTAGGACTGGCTGAAACCGAGGCTATTCGAGAGTAACCACGGAGTATACACCCGTTATCTCTAGCTCTAGAGAGCTGCAGTGTGCTAGCCAACGCTGAGTGCTTTGTTACTCCGTACAGAGTACGGAGTAACAAAGTCCTGAGTACGAGTAGTTCCTACTATCTTCATTTTACATCATCAATTGGCCACACGGAATAGTCGAATTGCCTCCTACTTGGCCACAGTCTCGAACGAAGCAGATATCCAAGGTACAGAGTATGGGCATCGAAGGATAGGAATTGGCACCGATTGGCAAAACGGGCGCACGGGGCAACGGCCGTATTCGTATTTACGGGTATTCTCTGACTCCACAGTCTCAGTTCTCTCTATCTTCTACCTCCGCGGTTCCGCGGATAACTACACTATGTACAAGCATATTGAACGCGAGATCTAAGGGTTAGAGCACTACGAGTACAGATTGCCTAGGTACGAGTACGAATAGTACCACCTGTTCCCACCGAGGTTCACGATTCCCATGGAAACCACCCCATCTCACCAACTGGTACGTTGGGGACCGCCTCCACTATCGTCGTCAGAGAACCTGCGGGTCCGTCATCGTTTGATCGTTATTCTGATGCCTATGTGGCTGGGTCTCCAACTTCATATATTGGCATGACGTGGGACAAGTCGCCTTCGAGTAGTACTTCCAAAGTTCCAAGGCTGTGCTTGGAGTATACGAGTAGATTGTAATACCCTAGGTAGTCAAGATACATCTCAGATTCAAACCCCTCTACCCCAGTCCAAAGCCGATCCACTTATCACTTAGCGTTAAGCGCCAAGAATAGAAACGTGTCTACTCAGATTGGGCCAATGTACGAGTACTGCGTATGAATTGTGTACAAGTAGCCCTGAGGGAAATATCGCAAAATTATCTCCCTAACTGGAATCCCCAGGCGTGACGAGGTTGCAGATCTTATGCCGTGCGCACACCGGCGCTGTGATCGGCCGTATTTAGCCCGAGAATGACGAATTACTGCCATTCGCTTTTTACTCCCTTTTTTTTCTTCGTTTCTTCTTTGTTTCCATTCTTTTTTTGGTGTCTCACTCGTACTCGTACAAACACCCCAAGTTAGTAAATCGGCTCTACGGAGAATTCCCAGGGCTAATTATACTCTGGAACATTCTTATGCTGTCTACTTTTTAATTTCACCGTATTTGAACGCTTATCTAGCTAAGTACGGAGTAATTGGTTAGCCGTTCGACGATCTCTCAATCTAAAGAGCTAAGAGCCGTGCGGCAATATCGGGCGCATCATCAAGCCGTTTACGGGCTACGGGCGACTCCATACTCTGGAGTTGGGGCGCGGGCCGTCTGGTCTGACGTCGTTGCCAATATGGAGTGTTCTAATTGATCGTCTTGCATTTGCTGTACGAATAGAAGTACCACACCAAGTACATTATAAGCTGATCGGCCTACCTACTCGTAACATGCGATGCGTGAGATGCGGCTGTGTTGAAGGTGATGGCTGTGCATGCAGTCATGCTCCGTACATTAGTGTACTTTACTTTCAACGTGAGTGGATTGAATCGGGTATCTTGGGCTATTTCAAGGCAAATAAACAGATGCACGCTGTAAAAATCAAAACGGGAAAAAAAGAAAAAGCAGAGCCCTTGCTTCGCTCAGAGAGAGATCACAATGAAAGGTTTCCAAGGGGCGTGTTTCAGAAGCATGACCCCCTGGCAATCCCTCTCACCCATTTTTTCTCATGTACATACATGGTGTTTGAGAGTGGAATTTGCCATGTGACGTTGAGCTCCTGGTGTGGAATGGACGATAGATGACCCAGACACATCGCCGAATCGACATCAAACCACTTTTCACCAATCGGTCTCCGATTCCCCAACGCTGTGGTCATGCACATTCCATTCGAGCCTTGATTCGGATGTCCATTCAACAATTTGGTCACTAAGGTTCTAGCGAGCTTCAGGCACCGCAGCGGCTGCAAATTCACGATTTACGTTTGCGCCCGTCGCGCGCTCATCGGGCCCAGACTCAAACAGCTCAAACAGCCGACGCCACCAGCCAGGCGGATCAAGTGGACGATGGCCGTTATGCAGGGGCGGGTAAACATCATTAAAGAAGTACCAGATATGGCCGACGACGACGCCGAGAATCTCGTCTTTGGGCACGATTTGATGCACCACCACACTGAACGCCATCAGCACCCAAGGCAAGTATGGGGCTGTGAAGACCAGCAAGCCCAGGAAACTGAGACGGGTGTCAGGGTTGCGGCGCGCCCAGATATAGACGAGACTCGAAGACAGTGCACTGCCCAGGAAGGGTATTGACAGGAATGGCGAGATGATCAGCAGAGACGTTGTGGCGTAGAAGATGAGCCATGCGAAGTGTGCGGGTGAGCGGCCGGATGATTCCTCGAGGAGTCGGGAGTATCGCTGGAGAAAGAAGACGTGGAAAACGAGGTCGAGGTTCAGAGGACCGAGATATAGGAATGTTGTTATGAGCCGCCAGTATTGTGATTTTGTGTAGACGGAGCGGAAGCTGTAGAAGAGCTGGAATGGCGTCACAATGTGGCATTGGATTAGCACGGAGGTTGCTACTGTTGCTGTTGTCCACCACCTGGTGACTGGAGGCATCTCATAGAACCATTGTTCCAGTGGGAATTGGCCTTGCCCATTGTTCTCCCAAATGGCAGCCATGGTGAACAGTGAGAACTGAGAAGGTGGGCTGATCAACAGCTTGGGAGTAACCACGTATGCGATAAGGACTATCGTCACGTGCCCTGGCGCGCAACGCGTCGGAGGCTGGGACGCTAACGCGATTGGGTTCATAGCACTTCCAGCCTCCCTTTTTTTCGCGACAGCAATTGTGTTTTTTACTCCCATCACTTTTTTTATATTGGACGGCTGTACAACCTCCCCTCGCAAGGGACATCACATCTAAACCCACCTCGTTGCTAGGGACTTTCGGTTGTTTTTTTTTTACTCCCTCTACCACCCCCACTACAATGCCAGCTAAGATGGCAAAGGCAAACAAGACCACAACCGAACAAAAGACCAAAGGTCGCAAAAGCACAGCCGATGGCTCACCAGCCAAGTCCAAGGCCGGAAAACAAAAAGTCACCAAAACCACAGCCGTCCAACGTGAGTGTCCCACCATGTCCCGGCGCAAGCTCCTCGAGCTAACGAAACCCCAGCCGGTGATCCAACCCCCACCGGCCGCCGTCATCGCTACAAGCCCGGCACCGTGGCACTTCGAGAAATCCGCAAATATCAACGCTCCTACGACCTCCTCATAGCCAAGCTGCCTTTTGCGCGACTTGTGCGAGAAGTTGCTCTTGATCTTCTGCCTGCTGATGTGGGCGCCGAGCTGCGTTGGCAGTCGCATGCGATTATGGCATTGCAGGAAGCTGCTGAGGCTTTCTTGGTTCATTTGTTCGAGGATACGAATCTGTGCGCGATCCACGCTAAGCGTGTTACGATTATGCAGAAGGATATTCAGCTCGCGCGGAGAATTCGCGGGGTTTGGGCTGGTTTGGGTTGATTTTTAATATTAATGGGCATGCTCAAGGGCACTACGGCGCAATACGGGTGTGGAGTTGATGGTGGTTTATGTGCTTTTTCTGTCCCTGGCTTCGTTAAAGCGGACCCAGATTATACCATGGTGTTTGTACATTACGCATGGGTGTTTCTTTTACTGGTGTTTTCGATCTCTATGTATAAGTGGAGCTGTTCTTGACTTGATACTCCTGTTGATACATCTTTACGCTGAAATCAATGATTTCCCGGTTTCATGGCATGACGGGTTGATGGAGCCGTCGGCTGAAGATATTCACGCATTCCTTAATTCGCCTAGTTTGATCATAATTGTAACATAAAACGCCTCCAGGTGGCCTTCGTGGTATCATAAACAAATCGCACACTAACATGATGGGGAACAAGATACACGAAATAAAGATCAGGTTAAGTCGAACGTCTGAGACGAGGCGGGAGGCCTGCGACTAGACGGTGACCTTCTTCACGAACACTCTGGGCTTCTTCGCCCTTGCCCTGTCGCTCCAAAGTTTCTGCCAGCATGTCATCAGTGACACTTGCCCAAAGACGATCATTGGCACGCTTGGCCATTGCCCTGCCAGCGCGCGCGCTCTTCTCCGCTTGCTCACCAACCACACCGCGGAAATACTTCCAACTCATAAACGTGAGTGTCATGCAAGTGATCTGGCTGTTGCTGATAGAGGTCGCGGATTGGAGGGCTTGCTGTAGGAATTGCTTGGTTTGGATGGTCGACTCGGACTGCACAGTTGCGCAGACTAGGAAGTAGGCGGCCTGTATATACTTGTTGGGGGTGCCTTTGCAGAACGTGTCGAGGGTGGCCATGTAAGAGGTCAACAGGTGATGCGACGGGTGGTTTGGATCGCGAATGATGAGGACTGTGTTCAGTGTGGCAAGAATGCATGTGTCTCGACAGGGGTCGTTGCGGGATGCTCTGCTAGTGGTAGGATCGAGAGATAGGAGTGGTGATTGGAAGATGTTCAGCGCGGTGGTGAGATCGCCTGTGGCCTGGGCGATAGTTCCAGCGGCATATTCAATCAAGCATTCGATGGTGTACGGAAGAGTCGACCCCAGCTCTTGGAAAACTTCTTTCAGGTCATTAAGGGTCTGTCTTGCCAGATCCCAGTCGGTCCGAGAGCATGCCAGGAAAACACGTTGGAGTAACAAGTTGCAGTAAAGGGTCTGCCGCCATTGAACTCGGCGATTAGCCGTGGCCATGGATTCGGGGATCGCTTGGGGCGCCTTGAAGCTGCTTTGAACCATTTTCAGTCCTTCTTCGAGGTACTTTTCCGCTTTGCGGCCGTCATATGAGTTTTTGGCGCTAAGCGTCATAGAGCTCAAGAAATAGCAAAGGGTGTAGAGGTCATGCTGAGGAAGCCAGTTGAAGCTGAGAAGCAAAGTTCCGTTCTGGACCTGCAATATGTCACCTGTGTCGATGGACGACGGCCCTGCAGATTTTCCATTTAGTGGGACGGCGAAAGACCCATCCTGTCGCCAGTTTCCGTCACTGAGGGTTTCGTCCATTAAGGCCTGCATGACTTTCAACTTCTGCCCGGACTGATTAACATCATATTCCAGCACACTGCAGCAGATATCCACCATCTGGATCATGGTTGTAAGCTGGGGTATGTGGCGAAGCTCGTCGTTGAGCTGATGGCTCCGTGCAGTAGCCACAGCACGCTGCGCCTGCTCGATGGAATCGGAACTTGTGCCTTGCTGCAGGTGCGCCAAGGATTCAATAACAGCCGCCATTGCTGACACGGCTTTATCGCCGTTGCGGCTAGCCATCGCTGAAATTTTGTGAAGATGGTGTAGAGCTTGAACAGAATCTTGGTGCGATGGACATGAGAGTGACAAGGTGACTCGAAGAAAACGGAAGGCGTACTCCCATGCAGCATGTCGGTATCTGCAACGATTAGCATGAGGTTGGTTCAGATAGCGAAGGGCACTTACGCCTCCACGTCTTGAATCATGCCATCGACAGCTTTCAGGGAAGCTTTGGAATTAGTCTTGTGAAGCATCCTGGCCAGGAGATGTTGCATGCTATACTTGAGATCAAGCATACGGTTCTACTAGAGTCAGCGGTGTGATTTGTTTGGTATTGATTTGTTGCACTAACCCGTTCACAGAGATCGATCTATTCTGGTTAGCCGATGCCTTGAGGCCACAATAATTGGAATACTCACTCCTTTGCTCAACGCGGTTTCCGCCTCAATGTCATTATCTGTCTCCTCAAATAGTGTACGTGCATATCGAAGTCGAACAAGAGCTTCCTTTCGGGGTTGTAGCCGCCAGTTCTGTAACACGATGGTTTAGTATGAGCTCAGACGCTGCCAATAGGTGTTGGAGCCAACCTTCAAGACAGCCTCTAGGCACCCAAGCCCAGTAGCAATTAGTTTGTAATACTCTTCGACATCGGTATTACTGCTGGCCATTGATGTCGTCGTGCCACAAGCATGGGCAGCATTGAGATATTCATCGGCCAACGACAGTAGGAGAACCTGATAGTCGACCGGAGGTTTTGAAATATTGGCAGTCGCAGCCTTCCCAACCTTATCAGCCGATTGCTGGCTAAGTCTTTTATCCGTCTGAGGTGGCTTAGATTGGTTATTCGAGGGCTGCGTTTGCGGCTTCATGCTGGCTTTGATGTCCAGTGATGGAGCTGGAATCATCACCTGCGGCACAGGTTGTCGAGGTGAAGGTGTTGGAATCATCACTTTCGGTTCAGCATGTCCCACGGGGGAAGGAGCGGGCGGATTCCATTTCGGTGTTGCAACAGGGGTTGTCTGGACTTGCTGGGGCCGTACTTTAGGGGATATCTGGGGCAGTTTTGATTCATTCTTGATGATCGGCTTGGACTTGGGCTTTGGTTTTGGGGTTGGTTTGGGCTGGAGCTGGGGTTGTGGTGTTGGCATAGAACCGTGTGCTTGTAGTTGGGCGGGTTGGGTGTCAGGCTTGGGACTGATAGAGGGTGGAGCCACTTGCACAGAAGGGGATGGTTGCGGGGCTAGCGACGAAGATGGTTGTATATGAGAAGGGCTTGCAGGTGGAGGCATTTGTGGTTCCCCATATTGAGGAGAAATTTGAGTATATCGGGATCGTGGTGCCGTAGGTATAGGTTGTTGGACAAACAATTGAGCCGGATTGATGAACTGAGGCGGCGGTTCCTCATGTTGGACCTGAGGCGGCGGTGCAGGTGGAGGTGCAGGAGCCCGTGGTTGAGGAGGTGATTGTACCTGGGGAAGGATTCTTGGTCCAGGCTGCGGCCGTGGTTGGATGGCTTGCTGTGGTAATTGAGGCCGCTGCTGAGGGGGAGTTTGCGGAGGATGCGAATGCTGCGGTTGCGTTTGAGGCTGTTGCATATATGTAGACGGATACTGAGGATATGGCATCATGGCCGAAGCATACATGTTCGGCTTGCCATACCCATCGTATGGAGACGGCGGAGGACCGGCATTATTGTACAGTATCTGCGGGGGAACTTGTCCGTGCTGGTACTGCGGTGGCGGTATATAATGTGGATACTGGCCAGCTCCAGGTGGTGGAAAGCTCATGGCCCCGAGATACAGACAGAAGTCATACAACTCGAGTGTCAAGTCCAACGCGTGGTAATGGCACCTTCGCGCTTTCGGTCCGGATAAACCCCCGGGCGGTCAGCTGATAAGGATGCGATATTCTTTGTGCATCAGCCAATCAGAAGAGATGCGCATGCATTGAGAGCATTTCATGCCCTAGTTATCCTAGTTATTTATGTGTATTTGCTTTGCATATATCTCTTTATAGATTTCTGGTAGTTTGCAAATGTTTCCAATGGGCTCATTTATATAGATGCTGTCTGGGGTGACCACTCTGAATTGGTATCTAAATAGATCTCACACATCACATATATTCGACCAAAATGTATCCTAATAATGCACAAGGGTAGACACCTGAATGAAAGCAAAATAGTATCTCCAAGATTTCAAAGAATGTGCAAATTTCATGAAACAGCCGAGGTATCAAACCCCCTGTAACTCGCTAAAAGATCACTGTACGCTGACCAAAGTCAGAAAGAGCAAAGAACAGAACGCAAAAAGCGACGTCAATCTTAAACTCTTGCAGAAGCATCTAAGGCTTCTCTTGTCGCTGTCATAACTCGTTAAATCATGTTGATGGAGGTGTAAAGCTGACTGATGGGTTGATTACCTATTCCAGGATCAAGGATTTCCTGTTCTATACTGGGCGCGAAAGACAGCGCCGGATGGGCCCGCACCGTCCATGGACAGAGCTCGTTGCAGTTATCGACACCGATGGAAGGTTCGGCTGGGTGAATTCTCTGCGCCGCCCATGTCGAATCCGGGACCGGACTTGTGCCCCCGAGAGATCGTTCCGTTGAGAACGAATATGTCGCTTTGCCGGATTTTTCGGAATGGAAAGGCGCTTTTCGTGGGCATTTCAGGATTGTGTCGCATGCACTGCAGACGGAGATCCGTTGGCAGGATGAGCAGAACGTGTCAAAGAGGCGACAGATTGTGGTCTGGTGAACGCTTGAGACCCATAGGTCGACGGACCGATGAGCGCAACCGAACCGCGGCGTCATGAACTCTTCTTTGCCAACTTGGCCGATCTCAGTGGTGAGCTGGTATTCAGTGCGAATCACCAGTTGGTCGTTCTCGTCAAGTTCTGGATACAATGACGTTTTCAATTCTGTAGGGCCGTACTGTTCGGTGCATGTATGCCAACAATAACAGTCGTTGACTGCCCCTCCAAATTCCAACTTCAAGGCCTGTAAGGTCACCTGCCGTATTCGCATGTGATCGGCGAGATCAAGTTTATCGCGGAAGGTTAATTTCTTGCAGGGACACAAATCGACAATCCCTGCTAGCTCTCCAATATTGCATGTGCGATTCTCCGGCTTCCGTCGTAGCTCTCTGGCAGAGAATGCATCGCGAGGATGGAGTTTCAGGCATTTGGAACAGAGTTTCATCCGACTGTTTTCGAGCAGGTTGAGGAATGACCACCGGGGAGTCACGAAGTTGTGTCCGTTGCGATAGTGGTGGAAGAGCGGCGCAAAGTCTCGACTGAAGCGGAGAGACTTGGAGAATAGGATTTCGCCGGATATTGCGAACATGCGCTTGTTGGTTAAGGCGAGAGCAGCTTCCGGGAGCACTGTCAGATGGGAGACGATCTCCAACAACAGCTCGGTAGGCAGCTCCATCAGGTAGCAACGGCCGGGGCCTTGCACCTTCTCTTGCTTTGGTGGCCAGGTTATGAGTTTCATCATGACTTTGACCTTCTCAGTGGCACGATGTAGACGAGTAGGCATGCCTGGAGGGAACTGTATAGAAGTCATGAGTAAGACAGACTGTCTTTGATTAGAAGAATGGTTTCAAAAGGACAAGGCCTCATGAGATGAATCGGAGCGAATGGATGTTATCATTGATTATCATATTGCAAAAGTGCAACCTCACCTCATGACAAGCGGCATCACCATTCAGAGGAGGGGATCTGTTGACTCTCAAGTACTCCGCCGGAAGATACAGTAGCACGCAAGCGGACCATGGGACCGGGTCACAAAAAGATGGCCGTCTATGTTATCAGCATTACATGTCAGTGTATAAGAGGTACTGATCATCGGTAGTTCAGCCCGTTCTTTGTCGGATGATCCATATGCAGGACTCCGGATCCCTCTTTCTTTTTCCCCTTCATTTGCCTGGATCAATACTGAGATCAAAATGTTCTATTGTCGGAAACGCAGACTCATCCCTGGCTCCAGGTCGGAAGTGAATCTAGGGCTTTTCCGCATGCGGAAATCCAAGTTGCCGCATTAAGCATCATATCGTCATGACTCGTTTCCTCGATTTCGGGCGGAATGTCCCAGTTCTGCCCACCGCAGCAGATAAGCAGCAGTTTGGCATGAGGACGGGCTCAGACCCTAAATACGCCATGACACTGTCAACTGACTTGGCCAGGTGAAGGTGCGCATCTGACAGGACTGCTTAGTCGGTGCACGTGATAGGCAATCCCACGTGACTTTTTATCTAACTCGCTATCTACACACGTGACTGATGTTACACGTGACATCATTACATATTCTGGATCACGTGCTGTAAACCCTTGTGGCACCTTTATGCCTGATTAGACACCTATGCATGCACAAATGCCCCGATTAGGAAGTGCCGAGGTTCATCTTATCAAAGTGGGAACCTTGGCTCTATTTTTGCTTTTTGCGTTCTGCTTTTAAACCGTATCGTAAGGGCCTGTTTTTACTTTTTGGCATAGATCCCTTTTCTGCTTAGCTTTCCTTTCTATCTGCATAAGTCGTGTTTTACTGAGCCTTGAGCCGGTATACAGCACTAATATCTCATATCCTGATGCCCGACCTCATCGCAACTCTCAATTCAATCCCCCTATCGGTCCTCTTATCAGGGCTGATCGCCATGGGCGTCTTGTCATGGCTTCGTCCGAAGGGCCGCATAGCATTCCATCATGCTAAAGACAATAGGTTGATGTTGACCAAGGCCTCTGGCAAAGAACAGAGTTTCGCGGATGTGTGTCGGTCTGCCACTCCAGAAACATGCCAATTAAACCCATTCCTGTTCAATGGGCACCTACAGACAGCCTGGACTACTCTCAAACACGACAATGTCCCTGTTTACTATAAGCGCCGCATGTTTGAATCCGAGAATCCTGGATTTGCCGGCCACTACGCTATGGACTTTGTGGTCGCGCCCTACGACATGCCTCAGGACCCAGAACTCACTGATCAGGCGAGAAAGCATACCCAGGATTCCGGTATGCCACCTCGCACGTCTTTCTTCTCTGAGGAGGAGTTTACTGCTCTCCCTTCCGATGATACCAAGCCCATGCTGATAGTCTTGCACGGACTGAGTGGCGGCTCCCATGAGGTGTACTTGCGACACGTGCTGGCCCCATTGGTGGCTGACGGTACCTGGGAAGCTTGTGTTGTGAACTCGAGGGGTTGCTCGCAGACTAAAATCAGCACTGGTGTTCTGTACAACGCTCGGGCTACCTGGGATGTTCGTCAGGCTGTGAAATGGGTTCGGCAAACATTCCCCAATCGTCCTCTTTTTGGTATTGGATTCTCACTCGGTGCGAATATTCTCACTAATGTATGTGCCTCGCAATACCCTCTCTTTTGTCGGTCTCGCTAACAACTTGGAAAGTATTTGGGAGAGGAGGGCGATTCATGTCTGCTTAACTCTGCTGTGATTTGCGCAAGCCCATGGAATTTGACTGTCAGCAATATCAAGCTGCAAGACACATGGATCGGAAAGAACGTTTACAGCAAAGCCATGGGCACCAACATGAAGAAGCTCTTCGAACAGTGAGTGACTATCTCTGGAGAAAAAATTCATTATAACTAACACCTCCAAAGACATGTGGACCAGGTCTCCAAAAATCCCAGAATTGATGTGGATGCCATTAGAAGCATCAACTATCTCCACGAATTTGACCGGTAAGCTGGGCTTTGATTCATTCAGAGAGACTGTCTGACATTCCACAGCGCTTTGCAATGCCCAACCTGGGGTTATCCAACTGAGGGAGCTTACTACCGTGATGCTGCTTCCACCGACTCCATGCTTGCTATCAGAATTCCATTCCTTGCCATTCAAGCCGAGGACGATCCCGTAAGTCACAGCCATTTGTACACTATGACGCCACTAATTTGATCAGATTGCCTGCTGGGAGGCTCTCCCCTACCAGGAAATGGCACAGACACCCTACGGAGTCATGTTGACTACTTCGTGGGGTGGCCACCTGGGTTGGTTCGAACTTGGAGGAGCCAGATGGTTTGTGAAGCCGGTATGTCCCAGATCGACCAAAGACAGCAATATTTGACTAATACCTTGCAGGTAACAAGCTTCTTGAACAAAATGGCCAAGGAAATCGACCCGACTATTCCCGGTGTTGTCGAACACCCCGAAAGACTTCCTGGTAACATTGCCCACCACAACAACCCCAACAAAGACCCCGATCTCGCACCAAAGCCTCAGTTCCATCCCATGCAGCGCAAGCTTGCCCTACCCTTGGGGATCTAGGTACTCTGTTCTATCGTCCCGCTTTAGCCGTTCTCGTTCAGCGACTCGTCATGTTTAAGTGAAAGACGGCATTTGGTATAACCTTGGAATGATGATTCGGTTTCGATAGACATAGATAAACCGGTAGAACGCCGAACCCCAATATCTAAGTACATTGACAAAGGATATAGACAACAATCAAACTTTTTTTCAAGCAAATGCAACAGACTTCTTCGCCTTGGGCTTGAAGACCTTATCCTTAATCGTAGCCTCAGGCTTGTCACCACCCTTGCCCTTCTTCTCTTTGCGGAGGGAGTCCTTGACATTCTCAAGCTTGTTCTTTCTCTCCTTCATGCGGGCCTCGGCCTCGGCCTTCTTCGCTTCCCGGATCTCTTCTAATTGTCGGGCCTTCATCATCTTCGATTCGATTTGTCCTTCCTTCTCGGCGTTCACCATTGCGAGGATAGTCATCATGCCCTCCTATATCCATGTAGTCAGTATGGGAGACAATTGATTCGGAATGGGTGTGGGATATAGTACCTGATCATCAACAAAAGTCTTGCCCTTCTTCTTGCCTTTAGGCTTGACCACGCCAACCGGTGTGATCTGGTTCAACTCGGGCAGGTCCAGTTCCTTCTCGGTGTACACTCTCTTCTTCTTTTTCTTGAGGTTCTCTTGAGCAGTCCGGGGCTTGGACTTCTGTTCCTTAGGTGGGGGACGCTTGGGACCATCTTTTTTGCTGGACTTGCTGACGCGCGAAGCGGATGAAAGCGAAGACTTAGCGCCCTTTGCGCCTCCAACGGAAGGACCCTTGGAAGAGCCTTTGTTTGGTGCCATTTTGTAAGATTGGAGTGGTAGTTTTCAGCGGCGTCGGTGGGAGAAAAAATATCTGCAGGTGGCGAGAGTCGAGTGGAATATTTAACAACGACTCGAAAATAGATCAGTGATTCCCGCGACAGAATCAGAGATATACAGAAGAAAAGTCTTGGGAAAAAAAGAAACCAGAGTAAAGCGTCGCGCAAGTCCAATCTCAAAGTCGCAAAAGAATTTTTTTGAAAAGGCAGGCGGTGAACCCGGCCCATTCCGCCAACCTCAGATCGAAACCTCCACCTTTGAAGCTCGGTTTCCAACGCTCAATTCCCTTCCCTGCACCCAGTGATTGAACGGCACTGGTCTGAGTGGGCTCTCGACTCTCCTCCAAAATGACTATCAACCCTACCTACCTCGCACAGCGCACGCGCTCCTGTACGTTTGCTCACCCGACACCCTCCACCGGGCAGTCAACGTCCTACAGACATGCAATGTACCAGCAGAGTGACTGACAATCTTCTTTACTGCAGCCGTCAACTGGGGTGATGCCAAATACCGCGTTCTGAAGTCCTACCGCGAATGGCTCCGCGCAGTCAGTCTACCCGAGATCCAGCCAATCCCCGTCCCTTGATTTGCGATATTCCAATTCGCGATGCCAGATGAAGCCAGTCAAGGCATTGGCCTGGCAATCGGCCTTCAGTCACTCATTTCAACCCTGCAAGACCAAAACTAACCTAATATCGAACCACAGTCCCCGGAGATCCAGACCATGTACTCCCTCGGCATGCCCGTGTCCGCCATCCGCACAAAGATCCGCCAGGAATTCGAGAAGCACCGCTACGTCGCCCAGATCAAGACCGTTGACGTCCTGCTGTACAAGAGTCACGCCGAGTTCCAGGTTAGTGGAGTCCCATACTGCCATGAAAGCCATGTATACGGGTCCAAAGGAGACGACGGGCCAATTGCCTGTCGTTCATCCCACTTCGACACCCAGCCACTCTACCAAGATCAGAACTAACGTCGCTTTAGGAAACCCTCAACTACTGGAAGCAGCTTTCCCACGTTATGAAGTACTTCCGCCCAGAAGAAGACCCCGGTGCGCGCCTACCCCGCAATTTCGTCTCCGGCTTCCTCGAGGGTCGCAATTAAATTCATTTGCTATTCCATTTTCCTATCTCGTTTCTGGTCGCGGTGTAGCAGTCGGACTGCGCCATCGATAGACATGTGTATATATTGTCTGAATACGTCACCCATCGTCTTAACTGCTCCCATGTAGAATTGCATAGCTAGATCTTGACTGTGATTGAGTTGGTCTGTCTAACTGAGAGTTGTATGTGCATTGATCGAATGCGGCTCATTTTGCCGCTATAATCATTCATTCATGACTTGTACTCCCTGACCCTCAGGTTGGTGAACCTGGGAACTTGAGGATTTGACTTGGAATTTCAAATCTATATTTCTGTGATGATTCCAAAGCCGCTTCGTGCATTCTATCATTGACTTAACTTGGGTTTGGAAATTGTGTATCACCTGAGAGATCAAATCTATAGATGCTACTGGCCTCTACTTACATGGTGTCTTTCTCTGCCGCATAGGGCTTTCCGCCTTCTATCTATAAATAAAGGTGCCCAGAGTCAGGCTCACTGCTCCCCCTGCTCTCCCTGCTCCCCCTGTTCTCTTGGTACCTAATCAACTTCCTTACTTCAAGATATTCACGACACTCTGCATGTTTCTTCCTTCTGATTTTGTTTTGTCGTGTAAGATGAATCCACGTTTGCCTTTCGATGATGCTGCCTGGGAAAAAAGCGACCAGATCGAAGACTCCTGGCTAGATCTTCTCTTTGATGAAGACATCTACAATGAGATTGGAATTTTTCTCGCTGAACAAACTTGCCCTCGCCAATGGGCTGATTTCAAATTTTTCAAATCCGGCGGTTTCAATGCTAGCTTCCTCATGACATTCACCGATGCCGATACTGGCGATCTCTTAAGACTCCCACTGCCTGGCGTTCATATGTTTCCCGAGGAAAAAGTTCGTAATGAGGTCTCTATCATGCAATTCATCGCGGAAAGAACCTCACAAACAATGCCGATTCCAGTTCCTATGGTCTCCCGCTGGGGAAAGAGAAACGAAAGCCCCTCAAATTTGGGTCCCTTTATAATCATGGACTATATTGACCACGAGAGAAGCATGTCTGATCTTCTCGAGACGCCAGGACGCCAATCAAAACAACGTCCAGAACTCAATCCGGATATTAGCACAACAAAGCTAAAAGTTCTCTATAGAGAATTAGCTGATATTGTCTTTTCTCTATTTACACTATCTATGAATCTGATTGGGTCTCTGAAACAGACCGGCAAATCGACATGGGAAGTGGCATATCGACCATTATCCATTTCTATGAACGAAATTGTGCGTCTAGGGACGCTACCTCGATCAAAACTCCCCACCGCAACATACGATAAAGCGTCGTTATACTTTGAGGCTCTAACAGAGCTACATATCTCACATTTCAAACACCAAAGAAACAATGCTATAGACTCGGCTGACGACTGCCGGCGTAATTTTGTTGCTAGATTCTTATTTCGAAAACTTGTTCGAGATCGGAAGCTTAGGGACAAATGGATATCTCATGAGCATGGCCCATTCCCAGTTTGGTGCGACGACTTTCGACCACAGAATGTCATGGTCGATAAAACTGACAAAGTCGTTGGAGTGGTGGATTGGGAGTTTACATATACCGCCCCAGTTGAATTTACTCATGCTCCACCCTGGTGGCTTCTTCTCGAAAAGCCAGAATATTGGAATAAAGGCCTTGATGACTGGTGTGCACAGTATGAGAAACGGCTTCAGATCTTCCTTCAGGCAATGATGGAATGCGAAGAGGACGCGTACCAGACTCGGAACGAACGACTCGAAGAAAGCCAGCGACTCTCTAGTCGGATGCGACATAGCTGGGAGAGCGGAGACTTTTGGATCATGTATGCTGCAAGGAACAATTTTGCCTTTGACGCCATTTATTGGAACAAGATCGATCAGCGATTCTTCGGTTACAATGAATCTGACAACATATGCGATGTATGGAAGAAAAGACTTCATCTTTTGGAACGCGAAGAAAAGGAAAGCATTGAGAAATATGTGGATTTGAAGGTTCGGGAGAATGAGACAAGGCTTCTCTCTTGGGACCCAGATCAGTATACCCTGGAATATATGGCCAAGATGGAACTTTAGAAGCTTGATCGCTCTTGTTTCGATCGCTCTTGTTTCGATCGCTCTTGTTGGATTAAGTAAATAAATGTCCTGGGCTCATGCATTCAAATAGAGTGGATGCTTTTGTATCTAATGCTTCGCATTCAATCCAATCATTGTCGGTTACTGAGACTGATCACCCACTTTCAAAGAAAAAACTGTGCCTTCAGATCGAACCCGCTGGCCACTTTTCTTTTTCATTTGCAGAATGTCTTGAACGGCTGGTTTCAAAGCCTTGGCCCAGTAATCCATACAAATCATAATCAACCCTTTTTCGGTCACGTTGCCTACCTTCTTGCGGTTGAGCATAAGCTTCATCGCAATAGTGTAGCAGATGTATGCTGGAGATGGCTCGTCATAGTCGATGTCCTTGACCCCCTAGCTGCAGAGGCAAGCAACTGACTCTTGTGAGGCAGTTGTAGGAGGGAGGAAGCCCTCCGTGATGTCGATGTAGATATCAGGCGAAGTAACCCCAATCAAATACTCCCTGATACTACCTAGGCATATATACTTAGGTATGTTCTATGCTCTAGAATAATCAGAATTCGGATCACCCCGTTGATACTTAAGTAAGGCAGAGCATGTTTCGGGATCCAGTTGCCTTGCTCAGAATGTGATTTTTACCCCCGACTCCATTCTAAAACTCGCAACTCCACCCCGCTCCACCCCGCCTCACCCCGATGTCTCTTCCCTTCCCGCCCAGACTCTTGGCAAAAAGATTATATTTTGCTCAAGTCTAATTCAATGCCACAAAAATGGATTGGACGAAGGCTCTATCATACCAATATCATCTTAGATTCTCTATTGAAGATATCTCCATGAAAGTAAGTCTCAATCGCTCTTGTTGCTTGAACAACGAAGGAAACTTTAGAATCTGTTAGATATCTCAACTTTTTCTTCTTGAGTAGGGTGGGAAGCAAACCATGCAGGGGGTGATGGGGTATCGCCAATTCTTTGCACCCAAGCCGGGTGGCGAGTAGCCGAGTGTCGGTTTCTTTCCGTTGTAAGTTGATTATCACTGGTCAGACATGAGAGTAGAATGCAGTCCGAGCTCGGCATCCAATCTGCCAGATACAATCGCATGAAAACCTGAAAACTCGGAACCAAAAGCAGTTTCATTGATTCCGGCCCCGGTGAAGACCCCGATGGTGATTACCAGCTGCCCCCAGTCGACCATGTCTCCTGGGGCCGTACCTGGTGGAGAAATATTGACCATAGTATGTATAAACCTTTGACATCGGCTTACAGCCTCAGGCTATCTATAGTAGTATTGCTGGAGAGAGTCTTCACCGATCGCCAAACAAGGTCAAACTCAAGCCAAGTCCATGGCGAACAATGATTTCTGGGGTCTCTCCCCCAGACTACCATTTCTGGAGTAGCAACATGTATGGTGGATACGCGGCAAGGTCTCGGGACAAATTGTCCAGTCTTCCATTCTCTCACTCAATCCCCTGCTCAAAACAAAATCTTATATATACCTTCCTTTTCGCCCATCTTTTGATCGGCGCTACACACGTTTCGTCTTTCCCAGCCCATTCCGACGGTTCATTTCTCTCCCACTCTTTCTTCAGCCCAAATCTCTCATTTCTCTTGCTATTTATCGGCTTTCAACTTGGCTGAGGGTTGATCTGCGGCTCCTGCACATATCCACCCTTGACAGACACAAGATGGTCGACAGATCTTCAGTCGAACCCACCACGATGGAGGACAAAGCCCGTACATCTGAATTCTTGTCCTCCAATGACGCCAACAAGGGGAGTCATCATCTGTTCCACGGTCCTCCCAAGCCCGCCGCATTTCAAGCGGGATTCTCTGTGGGAGATGGCAAGGTTGTTCTCACCGAGGAAAGCTGCTATGAGGAGCTGGGCTTCTGCTTCCCGAATTGGAAGAAGTGGATGATCATCTCAGTGATCTTTCTGGTCCAGGTGTCCATGAATTTCAATACCAGTCTCTATTCCAACGGCCTCCACGGTATCTCGGAAGAGTTCGGGGTGAGCATGCAGGCAGCCCGGTGCGGTGCAATGATTTACTTGGTTACCTATGCTTTTGGGTGCGAACTCTGGGCCCCTTGGAGTGAGGAACTAGGGCGCAAACCTATCCTTCAACTCAGTATGCTTCTTGTCAATATCTGGCAGCTACCTGTGGCCCTTGCACCCAACTTCGCTAGTATCATGGTTGGCCGTGCCTTCGGAGGACTCAGTTTGGCTGGTGGATCAGTCACCCTTGGCATGGTAGCTGATATGTGGGAAGCCGACACACAACAGTATGCTGTGGCCTGCGTTGTTTTCTCCTCGGTGGCAGGGTCTGTCATTGGTCCTGTTGTGGGTGGTTTTGTCGAGAAATACCTGGAATGGCGTTGGGCAATCTGGATCCAGCTCATTTTTGGCGCTTTCGTCCAGATTATTCATCTGATAATCGTCCCTGAGACCCGAGCCACTGTTATGCTTAGCAATATTGCTAAGAAAAGAAGAAAGAATGGGGAGGAGGTCTACGGACCATACGAGATAATTCCCTGGAAGGAACGCTTCTCTATGAAGGAAATTTGCATAACCTGGATCCGGCCCTTCAAGATGTTCCTAACTGAGCCTATAGTGCTGACCCTGTCGCTGCTGAGTGGTTTTAGTGACGCGATTATCTTTATGTTCATCCAGTCTTTTGGACTGGTCTATGATCAGTGGGGATTTGATGCCGTCGCCCTGGGTCTCTCGTTTATTCCGATCCTAGTGGGCTATCTGATTGCCTGGCTCTCGTTCTACCCTGTGATCTGGAGGAACATGGCCGAGCGACGCCGCAAACCTGGCGATGAACAGGCACAGTACGAGTCTCGGCTATGGTGGCTGCTCTATACTGTGCCTCTCTTGCCTATTGGGCTTATCGGGTTTGCCTGGACCAGCTCAGGGCCTCCCATCCACTGGATAGGCACCATGGTGTTTGCAGCTATGGTGGGAATCGCCAACTACTGTATCTACATGGCTACCATTGACTATATGGTGTGTGCTTATGGTCCATATTCTGCCTCAGCCACTGGAGGCAATGGCTTTTCCCGAGATATCTTGGCCGGTATCCTCACGGTTCCGGCTACTCCCTTTTACAGTAGTATGTCTTGAACGCAATATGTCTGTCTGACAATAACTAACGGAGGTCGCAGATATCGGTGGCGAACGCCATCTGGAGTATGCTTCAACCATTCTATGTAGGTTTTCCTCATGATTCCATATCTGCTTCCGTCATTTTTAACATCAAATAGTCTGCATTTCCATCGTTCTGGTGGCTTCAGTGTACCTGATCTATTGGTACGGACCAACCCTTCGCAGGCGCTCGCCATTCGCCCAGCAGCTCTCTTCCCACGAAGAACACTTGCACAGCCGACGGGCATCCGCGATTGCGCCCAGGTCTACACCTGACTCTCGCCGAAATAGCCTGACGTATCATCTCTGAGGAGTAAGACTTGGGTCCCGCTATCATGGCCGCGGTGAACGCCAAGAGTACCCTGATATCATTGCGTGTTTACATGTAACCGCTTTAGAAGAAAATAGATTATACAAAGTCATTGATTAACACTGACTTTCGTATAATTTTTCAGAATACTTTCTTTCTAAAGTTAATGGTTTTACGCATAATTGTTAAGCAAATACATATCCTACATGCATTCAAATAGAGTGCCTTTGTATCTACTTAAGTAATGCTTCGAATTCAATCCAATCCTGTGACACCAATTGAATGGCGGTCTCTCGAAAATATGCAGGGTCGAGCAACGGCCCCCCTTTGGAAATTTCCTTCATTTTCCTTTCAACCCTCAGTTAAAATCCATCTTTTGCAATAACTTTAGAAATCGACCCTATCCGCAATGGGTGAACCCGTCGACACTGGTTGTATCGCATGCGGGTGGACACTTGACAAAGCAAAACAGTGCCATTACACTAGCCACCTCAACCTCTTCTACGGCGCATCTACGCGGGGCGCCTGGTCCATCGGTTCAGATGTGATTTTGAAAGATCGGCCCGACGAGGGTCCAAAAGCAAAAGTTGAAGTCAAAACCTTGAACTTTCTGGCGACTTATACAGACGTCCCGGTCCCCAAGGTTTTACGTGACTGGGTCGATCGCGATGGGCGATACTTCATTTTGAACGAACGTATTGATGGCCAAACGCTCGAGGAGGCATGGCCTTCATTGTCAGAACCCCTAAAAAATAGATATCGCAGATCAAGTCGTCCAAGTGCGAAAGCAGCTTCGATCCGTCACATCAGCCTCGATTCAGTGTGTCGATCAAAGTCCATGCTATCCAGGCTTACTGTTTTTCGATCTTGAGCCCCATGGACCGTTTCACTCTGACCAAGAGCTCTGGGATGCCCTGGCCTTTAATCTTCGCCATCTCCCTCAACAAGTGTTGGAGAACTTAAAGAAGCGCCTACCAGAGTGCGGACCCTATGTGCTCACTCATTGCGATCTTAATTTGGGAAATATCATGGTCCAAAATGGAAAGGTTGTCAGTATACTCCACTGGGAATACGCTGCCTTTTTACCTATCTGGTATGAGTATGTTTCGGCCTCTTTCGGATTTACAGACATGGATGTCGAATGGAAAAAGTTGCTCCGGGAGCGCTTAAGCGTACATGGCGAGGCGCACGAAGAGGCCAAGGCATTCTGGACGGATATGTGTAATCTCAGACAGTACCCGAATCTGGATGAGAAAGGCCAAGAAACCCTAGAGAGACTGTCCTAGACTATCTTGAATGATCAAGGCAGGGAGTCCATTGAAAGTTCCCTGCCCAGATAGAGTTGGAAGCACCTGTAGACAGTTCCTTGAAGTTTTTATACCTTCTTGTAGACACATATCTCCGCATCAAACTCAGCTTCCTGCTGGTCTTTTGTTGCCTGGAAACTGTAGTGACTGTCCCTGGAAGTCCGAAATGAAGCTCCTTGAGTCCTAAGCAGAAGACAGTCGGACGAAGCTATCCCCCAAACCCATCAAATCCAAAGAGCTGAAAAATACCATAAACAATTTCAAAGCAAGCAGCCTAGCCACTGCAGACAGAGTGAAGGAAACCAGATTCCATATGACGAAAAAGTATATAACATAGAAGCAGACTCATGCGTACTTTTCCCTCTACCCAAACGCCAAAAACAGCCATGCAAAAAAATCTAAACCTCCATGCGGTTCCCACTCTCCGCATTGAACTGATCACGCGCAGAGGTGAACTTCTCCGTTACCACATCACACAAATCCATCAGGTCATTGAAGCCCTTCTCCAAAGCCTCAAGGGCAGTAGTCGAGTCTGCGATCATTAGCAATCTCGTATATACAGAGCCGCAGCCTGGTTCAGAGTCGAGGCCATACCGGTAGTCTGGATGCGGACGTGCATCTTCGCATCTGAAGGGTGGGGAATAGTGTAACCACAGAACTCGACGGCAGGGCTAGAAACCGTTAGTAGGTTGGTTCTTGTGCGGTGAATGAGTTGGTGTGATGGGCGGTATGACTGACTTTTTCATTATGGCGTATCGCAGCGCATTGCCCATGGTGTGGCCTTCGCCTTCGAATTGGAATGAAGCGGCTGTGTCGGTGGCGCCGGGGAGCTGGGCTTGGTTAGTTGGTGGCTGGTGGATGCGGTTTTGGGTGACGTACGACAACGACCTGGCGCTCCTCCAGGATAGGGTCGTTGGAAACGACTTCCTGCTCGGGCTGCTCGGCATCGACCATGGACTGGTCGGGGTCTTGGGAGTGGACGGATTCAGGCATGGTGGGCTGAGGTGGGAGGAATTCAAGAAAATTGGGCTCAAAGCGTGATGTATAGAGTGTCGTACAATGAATGAGGCTCAAAGTCGTCCTGAGAGTCTAGTGTCGGTTTTGCGCAATCTCGATCTCCAACTTTGAAGATATCGCGCAGAAAAAAAGGTGGGTTATCGATAGACGGTTCTCACCGCCTTCTGTTTTTGACGATTTATATGGTCTTTCTATTAATCTTCTGCATCAACTATGCTGATTTCAATATTTATCTATCTCAATTTTCCAATTTGCATTTTGAGAGGTTCATCGCTCATGTGTTGACAAGTAAACATTTCCACGAAGCTACAAGAAGAGCCAAGGGCAACATCTCGGACCTGACAGCGTACTTAAGTACTTTAGGGCCAACAAGTCTTAGCTGCCAAATAGCATGTCCTAAAGAGTATAATGCACTACCTACTACATAGATCCCTCGATCTCTCTGCCTTGACACCTGAGGACTCTAGCACGCACCCCTGGCCCGTGCCCCCGAACGGGCCAAACAGAAGAACGAAACAAGGCCAATGAAGAGATCGGCAGCTTTAATAGAACAAAACTAGGAGGAGACATTAGTTTCGGCAGTGACATCCGTGACCGAGATTTTACTCTGGGAGACTCCCAGGTCTGAGATTTCAGTGTGTTTCATGAGTTGGGCGTCTGTGGACTCATAGGACGCCACAGGTCCTAGCTTCCCCTGATATAAGCGCCCTGTTTGGCGTATAACGCTATGTGACTGGTGACAGTGTGATTCAATCCCATCGTATTTGGACATCGTACTCTAAGCTACTTGTAACTACTAATGACTAAGGCCGATTGAAATTAATTATAAATGAAGGTGTCAGTGCGGAGCTATTGGAAGCAATAGTGTGTCTCGAACCTGGGGATTTACTGACATTTACATTTACTTCCATTTACTTCCCATTGACTCTGAACAGAATAGACAAATACTTCTGATGGATGGATAGAGAATAGAATACTCAAGAGAATAAAGAGAATACTAAATAGAAAAAAACAAAACCAACTGGAACACTCAGTGTCTCGCAAAAAAGCGAGAAACGCATCGTGTCTCAGCCGGGTCCACTGAGGATCCTGAGTATCTGGTACTTCCAAGTGGAGGCCGCTTGTACGGTTCTCCCCTCATTGTGTCGTCGAACTGCTGCGTACCCAATACTTCTTTCTTTGCTCTTATTCCCGTACACTGTCTACTTCCCCTGGCTCTTTTCTTCTTTTCATCTCTTGTGCTCAGGGCCCACCCCTCTTCAGATTGAGTCCATTTCTCTCGCTTTGTAATTCTGGACTCTCTTTGTTCTCGGGTATACTCTCCGATTGACAGTGGGAGAGAGAGAACACTCACATACTTCACAAGATGTCTACCGCAATAGCATCTGCCCCCTTGACTTCACCACACCCGACCCGCAACCCCAGCCCGCGAAACCTTCCATCGTTGGCTCCCCCTTCAAACCCATCCCCTTCCCGGATGTCGACGAGTTCCAAGGATGGCGCAAAGGGGTCCCCGACCGAGAAGCGAGGCCCCGGGTCTCCGTAAGTCCACACGGATCGATCGGAGATTTCAACTGACAGGAATTCTAGTCAAGGGACCGGCCCGCAGATCACCGTCAAAAAGGAACCCGGGTCATCGCCACGGATGCAGAGTCGACCGCGGCCTCGTAAACTAGACCTTTCCACCAGTCTCCCCTCCAGCAGCCTTTCAGTGCGTCCGCCCGGAGGGCCCATGACAGCCTCGCTCCAAGACGTGGGCCTGGCCTGCTTGTCGCCGGGCTTCCAAACTCACGATCCGATCATGCGCGAGCAGCTACAGCGCAGTCTCTCGGTGCGGGACCAGCAGCGTTCCATTATCGAGCAGCGTATGCAGAAATCCGCCAAGGATACCGGACCTGATGGCGTTCCGCCCTCCGAATCGATGGGCATGCCCAAGACCGCAAAGCGCAGGCCCCCAGGCCTCTCCATTGTGCCCCCCTCCGCGTCTCAGTTTGCCAACGAGCGAGTAATTCAATCGGCCCCGCTGAACCAGACCTTCACAGGCCGGTATCAGCCTCAGCCATTGACCCGCCACGTCGTCAACCAGAGCCCGACCCTGGGCGCAACCTCCCACATGCACCAGCTGCCAGCTGCTCAGACCAATAACCGTCTTCCCCCGCTATCCGACGTATTCGGCTCCGAGACCCTGAATCGCGACCGCGATCCCGCCATGGGCAACATTCACCTCGCCTCCAGCAACTCCTCCCAATCCAACAACCTGGCCCCAATGCCGTCCCCAGGTCTTCCAGCCTCCCAAACCCCGAGCCGCCCGCGCGAGTATCGCTCCGCCGAGGAAGCCGTACAGGAAATGTCTGGCGGACGCGAGGATCTTCTCCCTCGGATTGTCCACTATGGAGGCCACCAGCCGCCCACCCCACCATCGCCTCAGATCATCCACGCCGGCCCCAAGACCGCCCCTCTCGCTCCAGAGCCTCGAGCACCCGGTCCGCCGCCCGCGTCCTTTGGCATGTTTGCCCCATCCGATACCACCGCCCGCCGACGCCCGAGAAGCGAGTACGAGCAGGATAACGGAACACCTCCTCTCGGCCATGGCCCTGACTCCCAGTACCGCGCCAACCCGGCGACAAACCCTGGCCCGCATGCTACGTTCTCCGGGCCCTTTGGCGCGGGGCGTGACTCGCCTGAAACGCAGCGCAGAAAGAAGGATGAGTTCCTTGGCCTCTGCGCTCGGGCTTGGGATCTATTCCATTCGTGATATAATCTTCACTCTTCGTGGGCAGCTACCTCCGGTTTGATTCAGGCAATGATGGAATTTGCTTGAATCAACCGAGATCTGCTTGGCTATCTATATATTCTATCCTATTTCCGGGAGTTGCTTTGCTATGCACACCCCAAGTCCCTCTGGCAAGACCAAGTGGGCACACTGCATGTCTTTCGACTTGATCCTGGACGATCGAGTCAATATCTCGTGAGATCTACGACAGATACAGGGTCGACCCTGTAAAATCTCTTTTCTAGGCGTTGGGAGGATTTCGTGTTTTGCCATATACCTTTTGATCGTGTTTTTTTTTGGGAGATAAAGCATTTCTGGCTATGAGTTCTATCTGATGTATCGATTTCTTTGCGACGATATCCGGGTATTTCTCGAATCGGTAATCCTAATCACTTTTATCTTCACACTTGATGCTATTGAACATTCATATCTATTCCAACCTCCTCCTCTTTCCCCCATTGGGCATTCCATCATCCTGAACACCCCGTCTCTCCCATGGCATCTCCTTCTTCTCCTTAGAGGCCATCTTCTTGCGCCGGCGCTCGAGTGCCTTTCCACGCTCCCTAGATCCCATTTCTCCGAACTTCTTCTCAAGAACCTGTTTCTTCAAATCAGACTTCTTCAAGTAATAAGGCGTAGCCTTCTTCCCCTCCTTGATAAGTTGCTTCTCGCGACTCTTATGTTCAGCCCGAACATCCTCCTCGCGCTTTTTATTCGCAGCAGACCGCATCTTATCCTGCGCAGTGCGAATCTGCGCCTTAAGCTTCTCCTTCATCTCGTAATTCTTCGTCTTCCCAAGCTGCGCCTTCAATTCTGCAAGCTCAGACGCCCGGTACTCATCCAGGAAAGCATACGCCTTTCCACCATGCGCATGCTTCCCCACACCACTATGTCCCATAACCGCAGCGTCAAACCGCGGATCCCGAGCTTTGGGAGCATTCGGTAATTCCACAGCTGTTCTGCGCCGCGTCACAGCCCGTTTACTTGACATTTCCATAGGAGCGTGTTTTGAAGACCGAGCTTTCTGATCCTTGACTTTGGAAGCGGCGAGTTCTTTGGCTTCGCGCGCTTCACGGAGCTTGGCGCGGATTTCGTCAACGGTTGATATGCTGGGTTCGGACTGTTCGGGGTGTTTGGATTTGCGTTTCTTATCGCTCATGGAAGATTGCGCTTTGGCGAGGGCTCCGAAGGAGATTTCTGCAAGTGAGGCTTTGAAGTCGTCGGCTTCAGGCTCGGAGGGAGCTGCGGACTCTGCGTCTGAACCTGAGCCATCTTCTGAGTCTGAGTTTGCTTCTGGCTGGTTGGATGGGTTAGTTGGGACAATGGTTTGTGTTATAGACTTGGTTTGTACCTCTGATTCAATGGAGCCGTTGGATGCGGCTTCGGAGCCGGCTTCAGAGACTCCGTCTGAGGCTGATGCCTCGGAGACATCGTCGTCGTCTGCTGGACGAGCACGTACTCTGCGATTAAGCTTGTCTGATAGAGCCATTTTGCTGTGGATTGTGTCTGAAGTCCCCGCGGAGGAAGATGAAAAAGAAAAATATTGCCGCTGGAGGCGGTCAGGGCGATAAGGAGATTTGATCGCGATCTGCGGTGCCCGCGAGAATTGTTGGATGTTCGTTTACATACTTTTCTTGTTCTCTCTTGTAAATGAGTTTTCGCTTGTGGCAATTGAGAGACTTTTCTTGCTACTCACGGCTTCCACCTTCATCTTCTACCACTCCTCTTAGCACGGCCTACCCAATTGGCTACCCTATTTACCGAGTCGCAACCCAATCGATTTCTGACATTGCGGGAAAGGCTTCGAGAGCCAATTTCCATTCCCTCGGCCGCCGAGGCCCAATAAACTTCTCCCTCTCTTGTCCGAAATCTTCCAAGCTGCCTCGCACAAAGAAAAGCGCGCAGCGCGCTCGCGCCGCTGATCCTGGTCAAGCCTCGAATGGCCAGGGCGCAGGATCGCCTTACAATGCAGTGAACATGGGAGCGCCGAGGCAAAACATGCGGGGCGGGCGACCGTCTCCGTATCAACCTGTACAATTCGGTGTGTCTAGTATACCTCAGGCATTGGAGTACGATCCAGTTACAGGTGGTACCAGGCAAACATACACAAATGAGACGAATGTTATGGGAAGCCCGGCGCAGCCAATTCCCTCGATAGAAGGGCAATACGGGTTCGGTGGATTTGGTTTCTTTCCAATGCCGCAGACCCCCTCGTGGACGCACATGCAGGGACCTGGCAGCAGCCAATTCGCTCCATTACCATATGCGCCTTTCAATGTCCCAGCGTTTGCTCAGCCAGGCGTGCGACCGATGAGCACGTCGGCTGCGCAGGGTAATTTATCTGCGCCACAGGCTCATGAACCCTCGCGAAGAACGAGATCAAAAACACCACAGGTCAAGGTGCCAGCAGCAACATTACAATACCTGAACCAAGCGTCATTAAAACCAGAGGAAGTCCCGTCAAAACGACCACTCCTAGTGATTCTCGATCTAAACGGCACCTTAATCTACCGCAAGCTTCGCAAATTTCCTCCCAGGTTCGCCCGGCGTGCGGGTCTAGATCACTTCCTTGCAGCTCTGATCCAAAACTACAAGGTTATGATCTGGTCAAGTTCACAGCCGCCAACCGTCAATGCAGTCTGTGAGCAGATCTTCCCTGGCGCGATGCACGACGAACTCGTTGCTCTGTGGGGACGTGACAAATTCGGCCTTACAGACCGCCAGTATAACAACAAGATCCAGGTCTATAAGGAGTTACACAAGCCATGGGCCGATCCCGATGTGCAAGCTGCATTTCCTGGAAATGAGCATCTGAAAGCCCCCTCCACAGCATCATTAGGCAGCGCAGCAAGCATCGTCCAAAAGCGTACCCTGCGAAGCCGACAAGAGCAAGCAAGCAAACTTCCTGCCGGTCAACGCTGGGACCAAACGAATACCATCTTGATTGATGATAGTAAGCTCAAAGCTCTCAGCGAGCCATTCAATATTCTCGAAATCCCCGAATTCAACGACAACCCAGACATCGACGAGTCCAAACTCTTCGCCAAAGTCCTCCACTACCTCGATATCTGCTCCCGCCACGACGACGTAAGTAAAGTCCTACGCACATGGAACGAGACCGCCGAAAAAAGCGGCTGCAACATCATCGATCTGAACCTCGGATTCGACGAGACCACTGTCGACACCGAGGATGGTGGAATCAGTCTCTTCCCCGACCAACTGGGCCATATCGGCCAAACCGTCACAGCCCCCAACCCAGCCCAACCAGGCACCGGCAAGAAGAACAAAAAAGCAAAGAGTAACCCACCACCAGCTCTGACCGAAGAAGAAAAAGCCGCCAGACAAGCCGCGAAAAAACAACGCAAGAAGGCCAAAAAGTCCGCAGCCAAGGCCGAACAAGCAGCTGCAAGCGCCGAGAAAGCCGCACAGGCCGAACGTAGAGCCGAAGCTGAGAACAACCCCGCTCTCACAGAGCTAGGTATCCTTGTCGACGACTCTGCATTCGACGAATACGACGGATCAAAAGACCAGACATGGCAACCAGACGAACACCAACATCCGCCCCGCCGCGAAACCCGCCGTTCACGAAAATCAGCCAAACAGAAAGCAAACCAAGAGAAAGAGCCAGAGCCTGTCAACAGTGAACCGTCTCAACGGTATAATCTGCGTCCTACCAAGACTGTTTTCGAGGAGACACCTGTTGAGACTCGGCAAAGTCCGGAACAGGAATCGGAATATGAATATGAGCCTCCTATGAGTATTGAGCAGGTTGAGAGATCTCCCTCGCCTGTGTCGGTTGCATCTGAGAATTATTTGTTGGATCGGCTTGAGGAGGGTCTTGGGTTCAAGAAGTAGTTTGTTTATTTTACTCTGTATGTTTAAGGATATCCCATTATCATAGTTTATGCGCTGGTGTCAACATGGTTCGAGTAAGCCTCCACTGCCCTTTCCGGGGTTATGTAGATGATTTGGAGTTCAGTCAACGGATTCACATAGTTCCCGTATACCTGCGCTTTTATTTCCTTCTCCATGTCGGGATGGGGGAGAGTTAGCAATGAAGAAACTCGCATTCCTGAGCTACTTAGAGGCAACCCTAGTAAATCCACATCGTACATAGTCGATGCCAACGTAGTTTAACATACTCCATACTTGTAACCATGAAAGCTAGAATCCGACAAAGATCAACGGGTGCACAATTGACAGTTGTTTTGGCGATAAAATAGAAGTATACGCACAACACTGTTCTTACTTTTCCGAAGCAAACCTGCATATCAGCCCCAAGCCTCAGCGCCAATTGCGATGAAACATACAAGGATCTCGTCAAAAGGTCTAGATATTATTTATCCCTGTCAATTTGCCTGGATGTTTTCTGCCCAGTCTATTTCATCCATTTGTGCCCAATATTCTTTGTTGCTTATTTGACTCGATTTCCCCTACCTTTATTTACATCTCAAACAGCTGCCCAGGTGCCTTCCACGACAAGATGGAATCAGTGGAAGAGCAAGTCCTTGTTCCAGATGAGAAAATTCTCTCTGCAATCTTTCCTGACATCGATTTAAAGCCATCCAGCTGCAATGTTATCACAAACACGTTTGACAGCTGCACTTTCAGCATTCAACTTGAGACCGCACCACTTCCCGATTACCCGAAGGTTCTCAATCTCATCGTTCGGCTCGAGAAATCTGGAAAGTCTTTGGCCGCATTGGCAACGTTCCAACGTTTGGCAAAATCCCAACTCAACGACCTTATTCCGTCAGTGCTGCATTTTGGCACCACGACGACGTTGGCAGAGCAAGTTGAATACTTTGTGACACCCTATATTACGGATACAACCACCCTCGAGGATGTGTGGGATACCCTTGATGAAACGAATCAGCTGGAGCTGGTCAAGACGGTCATTCTGGCCGTGGAAAAGCTCCAAAAGCTAGACCTTACTGAAAGCCTGAAGGAAACCACTTATATCTCAGTCGATGATTCCCCTTCCCAGGCCACTAAGATTGCAATCGGCGATTTACAGCATGGATTTTCTCCAAATATCAAACAGTTCTTGAGTGGGCTTCTGAAATCAGATGAAGAGACCCCCAATTGGAAACTGTTGGAGACGGACAACGGAGTCGAAATCCAGTCAACGTATGAGGATATAGGTCAAATTGAATTCTCTCACGCCGAGCTCAATGAACTTCAGCAACATGTCGTCCTATGCCACAACGATCTCGAGCCACGTAACTTCCTTGTGAGAGAGGTATCCGGGAGCTATGAGCTCATTGCCATTATTGACTGGGAGATGGTGGGCCTGTTTCCATTTGCTTACGAGTATGGCTACAAGGATACGGTGCTGGGGTCTTCGAACTTGTCGTACAGCTGGTACGAGTCGTTTAAAAGCCAATCGTCCCATCTGTTGCCTGATGGAGAGTTCCACACAAAACTTGTCAAGGCACTCCAGATTATCGACAACTCAGAGAGGAAATCCAGTGGCAAAAATGTCGGCAGACTGGTTCAGCACAAGTGGCTGGAAAGGGAACAGGTTGAAGAATCTTCAGATCCCCGTCGAGGTTGGGTGCGCAAAGATGGTGCGAACCCTCCTAGGGGATTTTCAAAAGATGATCAAAGCAAACTCGAGTATGAGGCTTTGGAAGAACTGGGTTATGTATAATGTTGCTCATTGAAAAGAGTGTTAGAAGCTCTAGAGTCATATATAGATGTGGCCCTGGCTCCTCTACCTAGAAAGACGTGGACTTCTTCACCTGTTTTCTTTGGGCCTGAAGTAATTTGATTCACTTTCGATCTTAGACACAGTGTCTTGGGATGAATGGTCATACAAAATTGATAGAAAACCTGCGATTCTTGGCCTCAATCTACATATGGTCTCTAAGCTGAGATTTCTATGTATATCATAGCTGCTCCTTGTGTTTAAGTATCAAATGAACCAGACAGGAGTACCACTGTATACAATGATGTATTGTCTTAAAGGCATACTTAAGTGCCAGTACTCCAGTGGCAATAGAAGACGACAAAAGCGTATGGTGCAAGAAAGGTAGGTGCTATTTTATTACCTGCCGGGGTATTTATATATCTACTAAAATCCTACATATAAGCTCGAAGGAACCACCCGGAGGCCGGCTAGCGAGGAAGCGGGTAGGGAATGTTCGAGCAGGTCCGAAAAGACGGACTGTCTGTCGGAGACAGGACCTGAGAAACAAGACGGCAGCCGGATTTAACCAGATAGAGTCACGATCAACTTAAGTAGCAAGCATGTAGATCATCGCCCTCGTTCTTAAGAGATATATGAACGGGGCATTTTACGAGGTACTTTGGAGAAGGCTACAATGAGATAAGAATTCACTCAAGAAATCAGAGAGGGATCTCTGTTCTTTCATTGCTAGACTAAACTAGCCGCGACCTGGCCAGCTGGGGTTGTCGTAGTAGCAAATCCCAGTCCAGTCCAGTCGTTCATCATTCCGCGTTGCAACTAATTCGTAACCGTGATTCAACATCAACACGTAAGACCAAGAGGTCAAAGATATTTGGATAATCCCAAAGAAATTTCAGGCGGGAAAAGAAGAGAATAGATATCAGGCGGGGATCTTCAAGCAGACATCATTCGGGGTATTTGGAGGTGAAATTTTAAAGGAGAAGGAGAGAGGGCGCACACGCTTATTTGAAGACGTGGCCGTCGGTCCACTCCTGGACCTTGTCGCCGGTGGTGACGGGGACGTCCTGGCACCACATGTCCTCGACGAGCTTGCGGTCAGCCTCGTTGGAGGGGTCGAGCTTGACGAACTCGTATCCCTCCCAGTCGGGGCCGACCTGGAAGGCGGGCTCCCACTCCTGGCCGCGGACCATGAAGGCACCGTAGACGACACAGTCGTAGTTGGAGCCGTAGACGGACTGGGCACCGAAGAGGTACTTGCGGGAAGCCTCAAGACGGGCCTGGAAGCCACCGATCAGGTTGTTGGCCATGAAGGTGAGCTTGAGCTCGTTGTTGTACTTGTAGTTGACCTTCCAGAGAGAGTACTCATCGGCCTTGAAGTTCTGCCAGAACCAGGGCATGGCGACAGTGCGGGGCTCCTCGTTGGAGAAGTAACGCTTCCAGTCATCAAGGATGAGAGTGGGCTTGCCGAGAGCCTCAAGGGGGTGCTTGGGCTTGGGGGCCTCAGCGGGGGGAGCAGCGGGGGCAGCGGCAGCGGCCTTGGGCTTCTCCTCCTTCTTGGGGGCGACGTACTTCACAACCTCCTCAGCGAACTGGGGGCTGGGGAAGACAGCCTTGAAAGCCTCCTGGTTGACGAGGGTGGTGTACCAACGGGTGGTAGCGGGGTTCTCCTGGCGGAACTTCTTGTCGAGGACAGTGGCGAAGGCGCGGGTGAGGAGAGCGGCAGTGAAGATATCAGCCAGGGTGATACGCTCACCAACAAGGTAGGTGTTGGCGGTGAGGTGAGCCTCGAGGGGAGCGACGGCCTTCACGGCAACCTTGGCGGCCTCGTCGGTGGTCTTCTTGTTGTAGGCATCAAGACCGAGGAGGGGACGGTACCAGGCAGCGAGCTTGGGGAGAACCTCAGTGTTGGCGAAAGACAACCAGCGGAGGATGGAAGCGTAGTCCTGCTTGGTCTTTCCGAGGAGAGTGGTCTTCTCGTTCTGGGAGGTAACTGAGAACAGGACATGTTAGTCAAGTTGCTTTGAGCATTGGTGATACCAATGGAGTGATAAGAGGTGCCAATGGCACAATTTGTTCCAATGAAACAAAAAAGGGGGCTCAGGTCCAAATTTTCTCCCAAAGTGGGGTAGCCAAAAATTTTTCAGAAGGTAATTTCTCAACAGTTACAGTTCTGCCAGGGATAACTAGTAATTTTTTATGGTATCTCATCATAAAAATCGAGGCGGGAAAACTGGACCTGAGGTGGCGGGGGTATGTATCAAGGGGGGGGGGGGGGGGGGAAAGGGACGGGAGGAGGGAAAGGGAGAGGGGGGGGGGAGATGGGAGGCGGTGGGACCCTCGAAGGAAAGGAAAAAGGCAGAAAGGAGGAA